GGATTTTTTCTTTTTTTTTTTTTTTTTTTTTTTTTTGGTATCAGGGATCGAACTTGGGACCTTGCGCTTGTGAGGCAGGTGGAGGAGCCACTGAGCTAAATTCCCAGCCCTAGAAATCTTTCTTGCATCTTTCTCAGAAAAATTATACCATTGAGCTGGGATAATGCCTATCATTCTTATAGGCCTTTTTGAGATTTTATTTTCTTTGGTTATGGGTTAGTAATGTTTCTATTCTGTTGTTTTTGTTTTTTGGTACCGGGGATCAAACTTGGGTCCTTGTGCTTGTGAGGCAGGCAGCAGGACCACTGCTAAATCCCTGGCCCTCCTTTTAATTTTCTTCATGCATAGGCTTTTCTATAATACTTGCTTTTGGGTTGTTTTAGGTGAGGAAAATACTGTTTTTATTCTAATTAAAATATAATTACAATCCTAAATTTTTTTTGGAATCATAATTGTCAACATGTTACTGAATATTTATTATATGCAAAATACTTTACTAAGTAATTTACATGTTATATCTTGTTAATAAATAAATTTAATGTCAACTCTATGAGTTAGGTTTTTATCATTGTTCTCATTATAGTAATGCAAACAAGGTTAAATAACATACAGGGGCATGCAGTTGGTAAGTGGCAGAAATAAGACTCAGATCCTGGCGCTCTGACATTTGGAACCCATATCCTTAACCGTTGTATTTATTACGTCTTGCTTTCTGATACAGCACTGTAAAAGACACGTATCACTATGATGACTGCTGAAAACCCTTGACTCCACACACACATACTGACAATTTTTGTTTATAAAATATTTTTCAGTGAAGGCCCTGGGTTCAATCCCAATCCCAGTTCCATTAAAAAAAAGGTTAAAGCCAGATGTGGTGGTGCATTGCTGTAATTCTAGCACTCTGGCAGGTTGAGGCAGGAGGATCACAAGTTTGAGCTCAGCCTGGGCACTTTAGTGACTTTGCAAGACCCTGTCTCAAAATAAAAAAGGGCTAGGGGTATAGCTCATTGTGAAGACCCTGGATTTAATCTCTAGTACTGCCCCCCCACCAGAAAAAGGGTAGTTTTAAGTCTGTTTGCTATAAAATCAGTGGTACCAGGGACCAGAAATACTCACTGTGAAAATCCTGAGTTCAGTCCCCAATACTAACCCCCCCCCACATTAGTATTTTAAGTCATTTGATGCAAGCTACAGTGTCACCAGGAGGCTGTAAATGATTACTAGACATTCTGGTTTTACCACAGCATTTAGTCAGGATTATGTGGTAGAATGATCTTTGGGAAATTTGGGGTTGTTCGGACCTAGCTTTTTTGTGTTTGTGTGCGTGTTTGAGACTGGGTCTTGTGTTAGCCAGAAAGGCTTTGAATTCCATATAAAGCCCAGGCTGTCCTTGAATTCTCAGTCTTCCTGCCTCAGCCTCTCAAGTGCTAGGATTATAGGTGTGTACCATCAACCTGCTCATTGCTAGTTTTTATGGAGGTATAATCTGTGAAGCCAGTGGAAATTTATAGTGCCTGGGGCAGAGTAGAGAACCTCAGTCTACTTTTGTATTTGTGTGTGTAGCTTATATGAAATCATTTTTGGCCAAGTATAATCCTTTAAAAATATAACCTCCATAATTCCATTGCATTTAAGTTTAGACCAGAGGTTCTCAAAGGACCTTGAGATGTTTCTGCAGTGCTTTTCCCCATCCTGAAATTCTTTAAAGAGATGAAGTCAAAATTATTTTATTATAACAAATTAATTTTCTTTTTCATTTCCATTTCCTCTTGAGTATGCATTGAAGCTTTCTGGACTGCATTGCATGAGGTCTCAACATAGTGAATACACTACATGAGCAGATTTGAGAATCCAGCTGTCTTCAATGAAATAAAATACAAAGATGTAACAGTGCCACTTATTAAATTTTATTTTTGAAAACATTTAAAAATATTTATGTTAGTGGTGCACGCCTGTAATCCCAGCACTCGGGAGGCTGAGGCAGGAGGATCACTGTGAGTTTGAGACTAGCCTGGGCTACATAGTGAGTTCCAGGTCAGTGTCATCTACATAGTGAGACCCTGTCTCCAAAAAAAATTTTTTTTATGTTAACCTACCATGAGTTTATTGTCATTTTAAGGCAATAAATCTAGGAATTCTTAATTTTAATTTAGTAGATATCATGAGATATAATCCAACTAAACAGAAGCTCTTTGGGGCCCTCAAAGAATATAAAGGGGCTAGGTATGGTGGCACATACTGCCACCCCAGCACTTGAGAGGTTGAGGCATGAGGATTGTGAGTTTGAGTCTATAGCAATTTTGGGGCCAGCCTGAGTTACATACCAAGACTGTTGTCTCAAAACAATAGCAACAACGATAATAACAAAGTATAAAGGGCTAGTGATTTAGCTCAGTGGTTCCTCTGCCTGCCTTGCAAACACAAGGACCCAAGTTCGATCCCTGTGTTACCAAACAAGCAAACACAGTGAATCAATAACAAAGTATAAAGGGATCTGTGACCCAATTCTTTGAAAGTCACCTGGTTAGACTAGTTGTATCTTGTGCTATTAAAGAAAATTTGATATAGAAATAAAATTTAAAAATTAAATGAAACATTTTTGTTACTTACCAAATATTTTTCTTTTGAATCGTGTAAGCAGGAGACTGGAACCTACTGAACGACCTCTTCAGATTGTTTATGATTACTTATCCAGGCTGGGATTTGATGATCCTGTGCGCATACAGGAGGAGGCTACAAATCCTGACCTTGGCTGTATGATTCGATTTTATGGTGGTAAGAATTTATCAGTGGTTTTGTGAATATTTTACTATTTTTAAGTTTGATTACTTGTGCTTTTGTTTGCCGTTAGCTTTTCTTTGTTGTTGTTTTATTTTGTTTTGGGGGGGCAGGGATTTGCTGTATATTCTAGGCTCTCCTTGAGCTCACTAGCCTATGCTGTCCTCCAACTCATGGAGATCCTCCTGCCTCAGCCTCTTGAGCACTGGGATCACAGGCATGTGCCACCATGCGTAAATACCTTTAGCATTTGAAAAGTATTTTATCAAAAGCAGTTTTTAATCTAGTTAACTCATATCCTGAAAAAAAACCAAACTATAATAAAAACAGCTGAAGGATTGAGGGAAGATTTAGAAGTACTAAGTCTGGTGTGGTTGTGCATACCTGTAATCTTAGCACTTTGGGAGGCCTAGGCAGGAAGATTGCAGGTTGGAGCCCAGCCTGGTCAATTTTAACAACTTAGTGAGACCCTCTCAAAAAATAAAAAAAAAGCTGGAGGTGTAGCTCATTGTGCGGGTCCTATGTTCAGTCCTCTATTTCCACAAAGTAAAAGTATTAACACAAATATCTTCCTTTTTAATTTTGTTCTTTTCATAATTTTGTTTTTCTCATTTACTACAATTGTTCTTATACCTTTGCCAGAATCATCATCAGCTCATGCTTCAATATCGATTATTTTTGAAGCTCCTGGTAAAGTGTAAACTTTTGAATACAGTAGTACTTTGGTTCATGAACTTGATTCTTTCCACACTTCTGGTCGCAAAGTGAGTTGAATGAGAACTGAATCAAATTTAATGGTTAGGTGTAATGTTGCACTTATGGGGAAATTTGATTTGGTGTTTGTCTAGTTCAGTCTGAGACTAGAATTGTGGAGAGGATTGAGTTTGTGAACCAAGGTGCTACTGTAGTTCAATAATGTTGAGCATTAAGTAGTGATTATTATATATTACTTACATTTGATGAATATGAAATTTGTGTATTGGTATATTTATGGACTTTTAAATCTTGAATTTTTTACTGTTTTATGTATTCCCCCAAATTGTTTTTCACCTAATTTCTTCATCAATAAACTTAGACTTAATGAAATGAGATTTTTTTATAAATGTAATTTTCTAATTATATATAGCCTACTATCACTACAGTACTAAGTAGCATTCAGTGAGAACTTACTGTATGTTTTTATGATTATGAATTATCTCACTTCCTCATTATAGCTCCTTATTCTATAGGAGTTACTGCTCTGCTTTACAGATGAGAAAACTGAAGCAGAGAGAAGTTAAATAACTTGTTCAATATTGTGTAACTAGTAAGCGACAGCCATTTGATATGTAACAGTTTGAATTAATATGGCACATTTCCAAACAGTTGCTCTAGGATGGGTAAATTATGAGTTTTATGTATGCAGAACTATGTGCTAAGATCGCCTGTTCTCATTCCTTACTGACTTGATTACTGTGTGTGTTTGTTTGTTTTTTGGTATCAGGGATGGAGGCCTGAAGCATTCCACCACTGAGCCTCATCTTCATCCCTTTTCAGCCATTTATTTTTTAGTTTGAGTAGCTGAACTGGCCAGGCTAGCCTTTAACTTGAAATCCTCTTGCCTTAGGGTCTTGAGCTATTGGGATTTATAGGTGGGAACCATGGTGCTTGGCTCCATATACTACTACATTTTGTGGGGTGGGGCACTAGGCTTGAACTCAGAGCCTTTGCATTGAGCTACATTCCCATCCCCCCACCCCCTTTTCATTCCCAGGGATTGAACTCAGGACCTTACAGTGGGAGGCACGGGGTGACACCACTGAGCTAAATCCCCAGCTTTCCCAGCCCATTATTGTTTTTATTTTTATTTTTAAAAATTTGTTTTTTTGGTTACTGGGGATAGACCTTAAGGTTTGTGCTTACAAGGTAGGCAGGCATGGCACCACTGAGCTAAATCTTTGGCCCTGTTTTTATTTTTTTATTTTTGAGACAGGGTCTTACTAAGTTGCTACATAGTTTGTGCTGGGGTTGAACTCATAATTCTCCTGTTTTATATTGCCAGACAGTTAGGGTTACAGGTATGCACTGCCATGCTCAGCATGTATACTACTTGATTCAGTTCTTTATAAAATACAGAAAGCCTGTTTTATTAAATGCACTTTACAAAATATTTATAATTTTTGTCACAGCAGTATTTTATGAGTTATAGTTCCAGTAGTTTCACTTTATTTAATTTCCATTAAGATCTGTCTTTGCGAATGTTGTTTTCATTTCCTTTCATTCCTGTGCGAAGATCATAGTATGAGACTTTTTTTTTTCTTGTTTACCTTTGGCCAGAACATATTAATATATGGTCTGTTACTTTCTTATTTTTATGGTTCGTTGTACTGATCTGCACCTTTCCTGTATATCAGCTTTTGAGAATTGAATCCAAGGAAGATATACATTTTGAAGTTATTCTGGAAACAAATTTATGTGTTGAGGATTATTGTGACTAAAATCTAAGTAATTTTTGTGTTTATTTCTTAGAGCAGTATGAGGTTTAGTAATATTTGAGGAAACTAGCTAAGGATTTTCTATGTAGCAAATAGATTACTGTAGGAAGAAAAATAGCATTGCTTATTTGATATTATTTCTATCTCAGAAGCATAATGTATATTCCATTTAGGTGAGGGAAGAGGGCATAAGAAATTGTGCTGTGATTTGATGAGCCTTTTCAGGATTTTTGTCAGGAAATGTAAATATGAGTTTCTTAAACATACTGGAGTCCAGGGCCAGGGATTTAAGTCAGCGGTTTGGTGGCCTGCCTTGCAAGCGCAAGGACCTGAGTTCAATCCCTGGTACCCCCCCCAAAAAAAACCCCCAAAAATAAGCATACTGGAGTCCAAAAGTAGTGTATAAATTCTTTATTTCTTAGATCAGTTTTGCAGGTTATATTTATACTATTTTTTTGGTCCTGGGGATCAAACTCAGGATCTTGTGCTTGTGAAGCACCACTGAGCTAGATCTCTGACCTGCTGATGATGATATTGTTTAATGTTATTACAACTATATTCTCATCATTAGTTGAAATGTTGGAGCAAGTTTTTTCTTGTTCTATAAAAACATATTTAATTAAAACCCAGTAGTACCTACCTCTCTGAACCAGACTTTGAAGTACCATATTAAAATTATACAAGTTATACAGCATAGTAGAATACTGATTTTTTTTTTCTAGAAGTGAAATGAGGTAATCTTCATTGTCAGTTAAGTGAAAAAGGAAGGTACAAAAATGTGTGTATACATAAATATATAGTATGTTGCTATTTTATTTTATTTGTATAAAATAAATTTGGGGGGGTTATCAGACATAGAATTTAGACCTTGTACCTGCAAGGCAGCTGTGGCACCACTGAGCTAAATATAACCCATGTATTGCTATAAAACTTGGCTAAAAGAAAAAAACTTGGAACAGTAACGTGCTCCTTAACTGGTTGATCCTGAGTTTTTCATTATACATTTTCATTCTAGAATGAAAGTTGAGCCTTAAGTGCCAATAAACTACTTTGTATTTATTGAGATTTCTTTTGTATACACATATATTGCATGATGGTTGGCTCTGATGCCACTAATTTTCTAACACCCTTTATAAATTATACCACGACCAGAATCTTATACCCTTTGGATAATTTCAGTAGAGTCTAAAAGAATATCAGTTTATAGTCCTTATATTTAGTGATGGTGGGAAATGTTAGGGAACCTTTCCAGAAAATGAGCTGTGTTAAGTTAGAGAACCTAACATAATTTGAATGAGAAAATTAGGTTCAGGAAATAGGTTTTAAATTATTTTTGAAAACAGGTGATATGTGCATCTGGTTACTAAAACTAAAAGGTTAAAAAAAAAAGTAGGTAGGTATAGATAGGCAAAATATCTATTGCCTCTGAAAAAAATTGTCTCAAAACTTAGTGATTTAAAGTGATAATAAATATTTATTTTGCAGTTTCTGTGGTTTGGAAATCTAGGAGCATTTTAGCTGGATGGTTCAGGCTTGGGTCTCATGAGAGTGTAGATTTCTGAAGGCTTGACTAAGGCTGGAAGATTCGCTTTCAGTGTGTCTCACATGGTTGTTGATTAAAGGCCTCAATTCCTCACTAGCCATTGGCAGAAATATTAGCTCCTTGTCCCGTGAACCTGTCCATAGGGCTATTAATTTCACAGCACGGCAGCTAGCCTCTTCTAGTGATAAGACATACACGCATAGAGGTGTGATTGAAAAATAGGGTAAATGTTTAAATTTTTAAAAAATTACAATAAAATATACATCAATCCCCATCAAAACACTCTCTTGGTTTTGAATACACATCCTTTTGTTCTTGGCCATTCTCTGAAGCAGTTCTGGAAAGTCCTCTTCTGTGAGTAAATTCGCTTATGCTGTCGTGGCTACCCCAGTCTACTAATTGGTCCAAAATGTTTACCATTTATGGTCATTTTGACTGTGGGGGAAAGCCAGAAGTTCCAAGATGCCAGATCCAGTGAATAAAGTGGATGAGGACACTGTAAGACTTTTGTGAGCCTGCCTTTCCATTTGCTGGCACTCAGAAAATGACAAGAATGATGGGACGTGTGTTTGAAGCAGGGAAGAGTAGTTTTGAGTGGGATTAATGGCAGTTTGTCTTTTACTATAATAATTTTTTTAAAATTTAAATTTAAGAATTGATCTTACCTTGTACACGCAAATGCATGCAAACATGGAGGGCTCGGTGTCTTATAACAGTTACCATCATTTTCACCACTCTTTTTTATCAAATGAGTCACCACATACTGCCCACACTACAGTGAGGAGAAGGAAAATTGGGCAGCAACTTTTGAAGGGAGGAATATCAATGAATGTATTGAAGTGTCCTTAAAACCTGTACACCTGTAATCCCAGCACTTGGGAGGCTAATGCAGGAGGATCACCACATGTTGGAGACCGCCCTGGGCTACATAGTGAGTTTAAGGCCACCTAATTACATAGTGAGATCCTGTCTTAAAAACAAACAAACAAAAATTATAAAAAGTTATGCTTCACTCACCTTTTTCAGTTCCTGATGCTACAGACAACCACAGTTAACAACAGGAAAGGTTCTTTTGAAGTGTTTTCTTGAAGAAAATAGCTTAGTAACCAGCTTTCAGTATTTTATGTGTAGAATCTTTGGTGAGTCAGTTTAGTTAGAATGTAGTGTTAATGAGGCCATTGTCATGAGGGCCTAAGTTCAAACCAGTCAGTGTGGTATTCTGTGGTTATAAAACATACCCAGTATCCCACACAGCCTTTATGCAAATACTAGTTATCATTTGGGCTGGAGAGAGATTGCTGGGGGAGGAGTGGGATGACTCTCAGTACAAATTTATGATGTAAAAGCCATGGAAATAAGATTTTTTAGGTAAAGTTGAGTGGGTAGCATAATCAGTCACGGGAACTGGGAGTGCATTAATCAACCCCCTTATTTTGTGAAAAAGGAGTCTAGAGAGTATGATTTTGTGAGGGAGATCATAGTTCCCGGACTGTATAGCTTAGGCAGCATGACTCTCCACCTGAGTGTTTCTTGTACCACATTATCTGCACACATTGTTTAAAACAGCTTTGTTTAAAGAACATAAGTACAGATAAGAAAATCCAGTCACAAAAGAATCACATAGTATGTTTCAATTCATTTAAAGTTCAATTTCAGCCATATTGTTTAGCTATGTGGCACTTCAGCTGTCCATCCAAATCTGTTCTTTCTTTCATTGTAACACAATGGTAGCTCCATCTCACCTCCCAGCCTGTCTTGGAGTTGTTTTCCTTGTGAAATGAAGTGGAATTGATGAGTGCCATTTCTGCACCCAGGTCCTAAGTGTTGCACTCATGCTTCTGAGTGCACTTTGCTTCTAGGATGGTAATAACCAGAGCAGTGTTTAAGATCAAGTGTTGAAAGTGGCAGAACCGCTGTCATGTCAACCTGAGTTTCCCAGAATGCCCACCTGGACAGAATTAAATGTCTGTTATGTCTTCTTGTTTGCCCTGGTAGGTTAACCTACTGTAATTAATACATTGGTGTCGTTTTGCACAAGTAGCAAAAATATAAAGAGAACAGAGAAGCTGAGTGTGTAGTCACATGCCTGTAACACAAGCACTAGGGAGACTGAGGCAAGAGGATCTTGAGTTTGAGGTAAAACTGAGCTACACAGTGAGACCTTGTCTCAAAAGAAAAAAAAAAAATCCAAAACACTCCCAAAAAGATATTTCAAAAGTCAGGGGAGTTTCTAACCCTTAAGTTTGAGGGAGGAAGACATTTTTAACAGAATTTTTGAGTCGTCATATACATTTTAAATTTTAAGTAAAAATTCCTAAATTACACAACTAAGAAAGTATTCACTTTCAGTAGAATCTGAGAAAACTTGTTTCCTTATACCTTTGCCAACATCAAGCTTTCTTCCTTCCTTTCCTCCTTCCTTCCTTCCTTCCTTCCTTCCTTTGCACTGAGCTACATCCTCATCCCTTTTTTGTTTTTTATTTTGGTTTATTTATGTATGCGTTTATTTATTTATTTATTTATGTATTTATTTATTTATTTTGCGATAGGGTCTCACTATGTAGTTGAGACTGACCTGGAACTTACTATGTAGCCCAGGCTGGTCTCAAACTCACAGGGACCCTCCTGTCTCAGCCTCTTCAGTGCTGGGATTACAGGCATGTTACACCATGCCCGGCTTTTGTTTTTTATTTTGAAACAGTGTCTTGCTAAGTTACTCAGACTGGATTTGAACTTCAGATCACCCTTCCTCAGCCTCCCGGAGTGCTGGGATTACCAGTGTGCCCCACTGTGCCTGGCAGGTTTGTAAATTTTTAAAAAAAAAAAAAAAAAAAAAAAAAACCACCACCACCAACAAAAGCCTTCTAATGTTAATTTGCATATTTTAAACTTCTTTGTTAAAATTGAGGAGTGATATAGAAAAACATCCAACCATCCCAATACAATTTATTTTATGATTATGTATTTTTTTAGTATTAGCGTATCTTTTTTTTTCCCTTGGTTTACTGAAGATTAAGCCCAGGGCTTTGTGTGTGGTAAGCAGCACTTTACCACTAAGAAGTATAGGCAATCCTAGTCTTGTTTTATATGCATATTTCATATTTGTAATTATTTTCCTTTTAAAATATTGTATTTAATTATACAAATGGAATATACTATCACTCTCTGTAGTATTTTGATTTATTATAGTCATCCTCCAAAACCGTTAACTGCCTTGTAGGTAATCACTACTATCAATTTGGATGTACCTCTACAGGATTTTTCTAACTTTATTCCTATACAGTCTATATTTGTATTTGGGGCTGGAGATGTATTTTAGTCGTAAAATGCTTGCCTAGCATGCCTGAGGTCCTGGGTTCAATCCTTGGTAAAAAGAAATGTATGTATTTTATTTACATAGATATTTATATATATGGTATCAGTTTGGGGCTGCATGCTTTTTTTACCTGATTGATTGTATGTCCTACAGATTTTTCTTTATTAGCATTTATAGAACTATGTCTTGGGTGCATTTCTTTTTTTTGGGGGGGTGCATTTCTTTAAGTTACATTGTATTGATATTATGAAAGTCTGTTTAACTATTTCTCAGTTGATAAACATATACAGTGTTTCTGGGTTTGAGGTTGTTAACAAACAACAGTCCAATAAAAGTGGCTCTTGGGTGCACCTGTGTTTCTTCAGAGTTGATTTCTGAATTTACTGGGTCATAGAATGTTCACATTTAAAATATTACTATACTAGTTATAATTGCAGAACACTTTTATTTTTTATTATTATATCAGAATACCCATTTACCCACAGTATTACCTTTCAGTATCATTAGGCTCATATGTATGTATGTATGTGGTTCCGGGGATTAAACCCAGGGGCACTCTTCTACTGCGCTACATCCCCAGCTGTTTTTATTTTATTTTGAGACATGGCCTTGTTAAGTTGCCCAGGCTAGCCTGAAACTCACAGTCCTCTTGAGTAGCTGGAGTTACAGGTTTGTACTATCATGCCCAGCTAGGCTTTTTGACATGCTCATCCAAGGGGCCATTATTTTTATGCCTTGCTGCCAGGTGGCTCTGAACCACCTGTGATACCTGCATGACTGTCCTGTTGGGTGGAATGGGACAAGTCCCATCAAGTAGTACAAGGGCCTGATTGGATAGTCATGCATGTACCACCAGTGATACAGGTCAATGGGAACATGTTCAATCTTAATTAATCTGATGCATGAAGTGATGGTCTTATTGTTTTCATTTTTGTTTCCCTGATTACTTAGTGTGACTGAGAATTGCTTATATTTCCATTGGACTTTCAGGTCTCTTCTACTTTGAATTACCCATTGGTATTTTTGTTTCTTTTTAAAAATTGATCTAAAGGACTTCTATAAATATTCTGAATATATAATCCTTTGGATGCTATATTTGTGGCTGGAGTTTTTCCAGCCTATACTTTTTAGTTTTGCTAAAATGTGACTGACTCCAAAGTTCCTAATCTTAATCCTTCTGCTGGAGACTGCCTGCCTTGGCAAGGGATAGCTATTTGGTAAAGGGTTAACAGTGGCATCCAAGGTAAAGTCTTGCTCTGTAGGCTGAAATTCATATGTATTTCCACTATATAAATTCAGTGATAGGTATTTTAGGACTGAAATCTAATTTTGTGATATCCATATTGCTTTGGATACTTAGATCTATAAATAAGGTGCTGAATGTTGGCACGTAATACGTTTTTTCCCCCCTTTTTGTATTATACTATTTTAATGGTAGATTCTGAAGTACTGTTTTCTTTTCAGAAAAACCATGCCAGATGGATCATCTGGATCGAATCCTGCTGTCTGGTATCTATAATGTACGCAAGGGAAAGACCCAGCTGCATAAGTGGGCTGAACGCCTAGTTGTTCTCTGTGGTACCTGCCTTATCGTTTCCTCGGTGAAGGACTGTCAAACTGGAAAGATGCACATTTTGCCTCTGGTTGGGGGAAAGGTAAGACTCACAAAGATGAATTATTATTTTATTTGATCATTAAGAAAATTAAAGGCTTGGAATATAGCTCAATGTAGGGGACTTTGCTAGCTAGCAAGTGCAAGACCCTGGATTCAGCCTCAAGCACTGAAGAAAAAAAAAATACCACATAGCTTTTTATAGACTTTTGAATCTTTTCAAACAAGCCAATCATTAAAGATTGTATCAGAGATTCTCTAAGAGGTTCAGAGGCTATCCATTCCCCCAAATCCTGCTAAAGAACAATCTGTTGAGGGCACGCCTGCTCTACTGATGTGCATGAGATGCCCTTGTTGACCAGCACCAAGAGTAACCGGGGGTGGGGGTGTGGGCCATTAGAAGATGCCTTTGGAAATTAGAAGTAGCTGCCAACATCCATCAACAAAATTCTTTCCCATTTCTTTTTTTCCCCCCATTAGAATAAAATTCAGAGACAAAGGTGCCTACTTCTTGCATCTGTCCTAGGGGATTTCACCTTCCAGAAAAGGAGTTCATTTGCTAATTACACAAACAGAGTTACAGAGAACCATAAACAGATATGTTGATGTTTACAGAAATCTAACCAATGTGAATTTAAGAGGATTTCCAGACAAAACAGCCTTGTAAAGTCATACTCTGAAAAAAAAAGGTCGGGGGGGGATTTAGCTCAGTGGTTCCACTGCCTGCCTCGCAAGTGCAAGGACCCGAATTCTATCCCTAGTACCAAAAAAAAAGAAAAAAAAAATCAAGTCATACTCTGAAACATTCAATCTGATCCAAATACACAGTAATATAGAGAAAATCCATGTATTAAAAAGGTAAAATCTGAAAAAACATAGTTGAGTTTAGAACTGTAAAGTGCTTAGTAGGTCTGAATCTATAGGCCTGCTGTGTACTAGGTTGGGAAGGCCTTGTAAAGGAAGCTCTTGTAAATGTCTGGGTCTGCAAGTTCTCTGCTCTTTATGGGTGATCTGGGCCAGGCTCAATCTCCGGTATCAAATATGAAACAAGGACCCACCACTGCCAGTATGAAACCTGGTTCTTGTCTTAGAGGCTGAATGACAGTTTAAAAAATGTAAAATTGCTTGAGAGGGAAGAAGTGAGTGAGGACAAAGTTGGAAATTTGTAGAAAGGAAGCAGAAAATAGAGCAAGAAAGAGAAGATGAACTTCCTATTTAGAACCTCTAAACGAAATTCAGCAGAAACACAGAAATTTTATTTTAGAGAAAATATCCATTCACAAACTCAGTAATCAGATTAGCACACTTCAGAGTGAAATGGAAATAAACACCTTAAAAAGAGTTGGAGGTCTAAGGGATTTAGCTCAGTAGTGTCACTACCTGCCTTGCAAGTGCAAGGTCCTGAGTTTGATCCCCTGTACCGAAAAAAAGGGAAATAAATGTGTTTGGGAATTTCAAGATAGAATAAAAAACGAAAAAGGAAAAAAAAATTCTGAATAAGAAAATTTCTGAAATAAAAATATTGTATCCAGCTATGAATAAATGAATTAGAACACTGGAAATGAGCCAGGTGTGGTGGCACATGCCTGTAATCCTAGCACTTGGGAGGTTTAGGCAGGAGGATTGCTGCAAGTTTGAGGCCAGGGTGGGCTGTGTGAGTTCAAGTCCAGAATAGTTACTAAAATTTAAAATTTAAGTAGGCAATCAGATACGGTGGCTTATACCTGTAACCCCAGAACTTCTGAAGGCTGTGGCAAGAGTATTCCAACTTTAAGCCCAGCCAGGACAATTTAAGTGTTTTATGTCTCAAACTAAGAAATAAAAAGGAGCGGGGATATAACTCAATATGAAGGCCCTGAATTCAATCCTTAGTATTGCAAACACTACATATTAAAGCAAAACACCAGCTTAATAGGTGGAAAAACTCTGGATAAGACAGAGAACTGAGTAACAGTAAAGGAATTTTTGGCCCTTCTTTCTCTTGCTAGTAGAACAGAATTTTGCTTAGCCTGGCAATATGCCAAGGAGCAAAAACTGTATCTCCCAGGGAAGGAGGGAGGGTCAAGAGGATAAAAAAGGAACTATGATATGTTATGAGTATGTTCCAGCTCCCCACAAGGAATGTGATCATGATATACTACAAACACAAAAAAGTAAAAACTGAAAAAAAAAGTCTTTTACAAGTACCCACTCCCAGTAATGAATGTAATAATTGTGTACTGTAAACATGTATTACTAAAAAAATTATTTAAACAATGTATCTCCCACCCTGTGTTATAGAGGCTAGTGAGATACAACAGAAGTTTCAAGGTGGGACTTCTGGAAAAGCACATTAAAATAGGGCAGGTAGTGAGGTATGGTGACACATGCCTGTAATCCCAGTAGTCTGGAAGGCTGAAGGGTTCAATTCCCAGTACTGAGGCAGGTGGAAAGGGGTCCGGCATGGGTGGATGTCTTGACTATTTGCCTTCCTTTGCCTTCCTTTGATTCCCTCCGCTTTGGAGGTGGTGCAGCTGTGTGGTGACTGAGTTGTCAAGCATGAGGAGAGTGCGGCTGTTTGGAAAGAAGCCTGAGTTCCTGATGGCGTTATAGAGCTGCCGTACCAGGCCTGGACTGACTTCTCCATTTTTTTAAGCCATTGTTTTATGGCTGGATATAATTAACTGATGTACCGAGGAATTTCACAGATAAAATAGCTAAGTATAGTGATGAATATCTATACTAAGCGTCTGAGACAGGCTGGGCAACTTAGCAAGACATTGTCTCAAAAATACAAAAGGGTTGCCAGGTGTGGTGGCCTGTAATCCCAGCACTCGGGAGGCTGAGGCAGGAGGATTGCTGTGAGTTTGAGACCAGCCTGGGCTACATAGTGAGTTGTTCCAGGTCAGACTCAACTACATAGTGAGATCCTGTGTCAAAAAAAAAAACAAAACAAAAAATTATATAATTATATATATAATATTATATGTATATATATATATATATAGTGTTTTGTATACACACACACACACACGCATGCACACAAATACATACATACATGCACACAAAAGGGTTGGAGCATATCTCTGGTAGAGCAGGTGCCTAGCATGTGTGACATCCTGGGTTAATCCTCAGTACTCCTATCTCTATCCCACAGAAAAGATAAAAGCCTTTTATAAAAGCTGTGGTATAAACCTAATAATAATAGCGTTTTGTATACACACACACACACACGCATGCACACAAATACATACATACATGCACACAAAAGGGTTGGAGCATATCTCTGGTAGAGCAGGTGCCTAGCATGTGTGACATCCTGGGTTAATCCTCAGTACTCCTATCTCTATCCCACAGAAAAGATAAAAGCCTTTTATAAAAGCTGTGGTATAAACCTAATAATAATAGCAGAGAAGAGAAAGGACAAGCAATAGGTAAAAAAATATTTGAATTTTTTTCTAGAAATGCAAACACACGTGAATGTCCAGATAAAAAGTATACTGAGTACTGAGTAGGGGATATAAAAAATAAATCTATATGTAGATACATTGCAGAATATAAAGGACAGGAGAAAATCATAAAATTTTCCACAGAAAGCCAGATGCAGTGGTGTATGCTATGTCTCAGCTACTTGGGAGGCTAAGGTAGGAGGATAGCTGGGCCATTGAAGCCAGCCTGGGTCATGAAGCAAGACTCTGTTTCAAAACAAAAGAAAGTGATGGACCATGGATTTAGCTCAGTGGTGCCATACCTGCCTCACAAGCGCAAGGTACTGAGTTAGACCCCCAGTACCAAAAAAAAAAAAAAAAAAAAAAAAGCCTTGTCAAAACAAAAGAAAATGAAATACAATACAACACAATGCAAAACAAAATGCTTCCAGACAACAAAACACTCGAGAGAGTAAAAGATTATCTATAAAGGAATAGCAGATTTACAGCAATTGTTCTATCAAAAATATTTACTAGAAGATTGTCTACAAAGTTGCTGAAAAAATGTCAACGTATATATACCAGACAAATTATCTTACAAAAGTCAAGAAAAAAACCCCAAATTTTTCTATACAACAGTTAAGCTAATATATTCTCATTGAAAGAACTATGCCAGTTGTGGTCTCACATGCCTATAATCCCCCAGCACTTGGGAGGCTGAGGCAGGAGGATCACCACAAGTTCAAAGCCAGCCCAAGCTATGTAGTGAGTTCAAGGCCAGCCTTAACTACACAGAGGGATCCTATCTCAAAAAAGAAAAAGAAAACAATGAAAAGTAAATTCAAAGCGAAGGTATGAAATATAAGAATCTATAATGAGTGCAGACATTGATAAAATATGGTGGTAAATTTAATACAGATTATAAAATGTCTTAAAAATTTGCATTTTATCTAAGATCATGTCCTAAATAAGAGTACAAGATGTAATGATGTACTTAGTAAGTAAAGAATGATACTGTCTTGGGATAGGAGAATAGAAACACCAATTTTAAACTTTATTAGAAAAATTGTCAGATAAGAATTTAAGCATTTTAGTATGTGTGCTGCTGAAGTGAGCTTGGATTCAAACATTTTAAGGTAATCACCAAAAAAATAAAAAAGGAAAACAGGAAGAAATGGGAAAAAAAGCAAAATAATCAGCGTAGTAAATTATCACAAACTGTAGCAATACAGATAAATCCAAATTAATAATAATACATAATAATTGTAATTGTCAGATTATGTTATTTGTTCTTTGTAAGAGACATACTTAAAACCTACTCTTAAAAGGTTGCCTATTAAATGATGGTGAAGTATATACTAGTTAGGTAACAAAAGAAAATTACTATAGTTTTTTATATATATATATATATTTTTTTTTTGGTACTGGGGATTGAACGCGGGTCCTTGCGCTTGCAAGGCAGGCCACCGAACCATTGAGCTAAATCCCCAGCCCCACTATAATTATATTTTAATATCATACAAAACTTATGAGTGTATGTAACAAAGGATTTGTATTCAGAATATATAAAGAGCGTTTGTAACTAAGTAATAAAAAAGACAAATTACCTAGTAAGGAATGGCAGAAGATTTGACCAGTACGTTTAGCAAAGGAGTTAAGGAGGTGTCAAAGATCCCCAACGTCATTATTCATTAGAGAAATAAAAATGAAAATCACAGTGGGATACTACATACCACTGGAATGGCCAAAATTAAAAGACTTATGTGTACGAAGTTTGGCAAGGATGTGGCTAGACTAGACTATTTTATGTCATTGTTGGAAGGAAGTTACTTTGGAAAACAGTTTGTTCTTATAAAATTAAACATGCTTATCAGGTCACCTAGCAATTCTGCTCCTAGTTATTTACCAAGATGACCATATGTCCTTATAAAGCTTTTAAGTGAATGTTCATAGCAGCTTTATGATGGCCCCAAATAGAAGCAACCCAAGTACTCATTAACTTGTGAATTAACAGATAAAGTGGTATATCCATGCAAAGGAATACTGCTTAGCAGTAAAAAGGAATGAGTTGATAACAAGAACAAGGACAACCCTAGAAAGCATTCCTCTAAGCAAAAAAAAAAAAAAAAAAAAAAAAAAAAACAGATCCAAAAGTCCATTTATTGTGTGATTTCACTTATATGAAATTAAGAAAAAAGCAAAAAACTACGCAGTGATAGAAAATAAATCACTAACAGGAAAAGGATTGACTACAAAGGGGCACAAGAGAAATTTGGTGGGGGTCATGGGGTTGTACTATTCATCTATAAAAATTCATCAGTTCATTTAGAATCAATGAATTTTAAAAATCAGAATTTTATTTGAGTCCCTAATTTAATGGAAAAAATAGACATAAAGGGGCTCAGTATAAAGTGATAAAAGAAACATCTTACCATAAATATTTAAGTTGCACATATGTGACAGTATAGTGTCAACGTTTATAATACAACAATTACGGAGAAGTTGACAAATTAATTTCTAGTGGGAGATTTACAACCCTTTCTCAATATTTCATATGTAATCTCTATACTTTTCTGTGTGGAATATTTAATAATAAAATATTTAAAAGAAGATTTTTCTAGGACATTCTTCATTTCAGTAAAATTCTTTGTTTTGACATGTTCAATTATAGTGGTTTACTAATAAAATGGTTAGGTCATGAATATCGCTATTGAGTATTATGAAACTTAGTTAATGTTTTTAACATGATTCTTTTTTGCTGAGAGTATTTTGTGTTTGTGCCACTTGGTTCAATTTTTAGTTGGCACCAGAAACCTAATGATTTACCGGTATAGCTTGTAAATTTCTAGCTGATTTGCCAAGATTAACAGCTATGACATGCCAAAGTAAGATGCCAAAGATATGAGTGGTTCCATAACTATAAAAAGACTGTGTCCTCATCAAAGCTATATAGGTTGACTAGTTGGTGTTTCAGGAAGAGATGCTTTGAAGAGTTGTTTGGTGCTGTGGATCCCACCATCACCCCAAATAGGAATGGAGAAAGTTCTTGCCTCTTCTCAAATCTAGTGAAAGATGTTAGATGCAATGAAAGAACTTGATAAGGGTCCCCTGCAGTAAGGGAGACATAGTGTACTGGCATCCTGCCTTCTAGCTGCTGGTGACAGAGCAAAAGCACAGCTGATGGATCGGGATCACAGTGTACTCCTTGGGTTTGTTAGTGTGAGTCTCATTGGCAGATGGGGGTGGGAAGGGAAAAGGGAGGGAGAAAGACATTGGTAGGGTGTAGGAGGGGAGGGAGAGAATGTATGCTTGTGCAGAGAGGGGGACGGAAAGGGCCATTGTGTGTGGGGTGCGCATTCTCTTACATGTTCACTTACACAACTATCACCACAATAATATCGATTGATTGATTGTCACAGGGGAGTGAACCCAGAACTTTTGCACTGAGCTACATCCCCAGCTGTTCTTATTTTGAGACAGAGGCTTCTAAGTTGCCTTGGCTAGCCTCAAACTTGAGATCCTCCTGAATCAGCCTCCTGAATAGTTGTGATTAAGGTATGCACCACCGCACCCTGCTGCCACAATAATTTTCAGAACATTTTTATAATTAAGAAACCCTATAATTTTCTCAGTTTCCTTACCAGCCGTAGGCAACTATGAATCTACTTTCTCTCTGTAAATTTACTAATTCTGACTTTTCATATAAATAAATCATAAAATATATGGTTCTGTGTGATGGTTTCTTTCACTTGAGCTGTTTTCAAAACTTATTCATATGATAGTATGTATCAATATTTTGTTCCTATTTTGACCAAATAATATTCTATCCTATAAATAGGCCATATTTTGTGCATTCATTGGTAGACATTTGGGGTACTTCCACTTTTTTAGCTATTATGAATAATGCTGGTAGTAACATTCATGTGGATGTATGTTTTCATGTAAATGTGGGAGTGGAATTGCTAGGTTACCTAGTGACTCTTTGTTTAACCTTTTGAGGAACTGCCAGGCTATTTTCCAAAGTGGCAATATCATTTTACATTTTCATCAGCAGTATGATGAAAGTTCTAGCTTCTCCATATCTTTGCTAAGACTTTTTTTTTTTTTGAGATAGGGTCTCACTATAGAGCCCAGACTGACATCAACCTCTTGGTGATCCTCCTGCTTCAGCCTCCCAAGTGCTGGGATTACAGGCGTGGGCCACCACACATGGCTTTGGCAAGACTTATTATACACACTTGTGTTTCATTTTAACTGTCTTAGAGGATATGAAATGATATCGTATTGTGGCTTTGATTTCCCTGATGGCTAATGGCATTGATCATCATTTCATGTGCTTATTGGCCATTTGTTTCATCTTTGCAGAAATGTCTGCTCAGTTCCCTTGACATTTTGAGAAGTGGGTTATTTGCCTTGTCACCATGCTTTTACTTTTTGATTTGAATTTCTCTTTAGTGCTTCTGGTTTTCTCCCCTCATTCAGATAGAAGAAGTGAAGCGCCGGCAGCACTCCCTTGCATTCAGCTCAGCTGGAGCCCAGGCTCAGACCTATCATGTCAGCTTTGAGACTTTGGCGGAGTACCAGAGATGGCAGCGGCAAGCATCTAAGGTGATGAGTGGTCAGACCTCCTGGTGTGGTCGTAGGGATGCAGGAGCACAATAGAAATGTACAGTAAGTCCCTGGCTTCTGAATGAGTTCCTTTCCAGGGGAACAGTTTTGATTTAAATTTGTTTATAATCTGCCAAAGTCTTATCCAGTACACCTGTGAAAGTTTGGAACCCAAATATTCATAAGTTGGAGACTTACTGTATTTTGAAACTGAACTTAGGCCTAGGACAATGAATTATAATTTCTAATTTCATTTCTAGGTTTTTTTGTAGCATATAATGTCAAGTAATGGAGTCCATCAAGTTTTTAACTTATTTACATATATTTGCGGAGTAGCTGTCAGTTTTTTTCAGGTGCATTTACCTTTATACCATCTCTGTGAGGTAGGGCCTTGGAAGCAATTAAGGCATAATGAGATTTTGAGCCTTGAAGGAGTTGAGATGCTGTGAGATTTCATGGCTTTCCCTCAGCCATAGTACTTAGTGATTTATTGATCTGTTCTCTAGCTTGTAGCCTAGTGCTTCTTGGTCTATACATAGTTGGACCAGCCTTGGTGAACCTCTAGAAATTGAAGGTATTGATGGGATGGTGACATACAATTCTGTCACAAATCATTATTATATATGCTGAGGATATTAGCCTTTCAGCATAATTTCTACCTTTTTAGTTGTTAAAGATAACTGTACAAGTGTATTGTGATCTCCACATTCTTTCCTAGACATCTTTGCAGAATTTTGCATAAGCATTTGTTACAGTATAATGACATGCTATCAAAACATGAGTGACTTTTCCAGAAATATAGTTTGTTTTTTAGATCCATTTTTTATAATTCATATTTTATAAACATTATGGAAGTAAAATTTTTAAGGTTTTTATTTGTATAATACACTTTTGAATTTTGTTTTTGTATTGTGTTGATTATAAAATGTACTCTGAATAGAACTTGTTTAGATTTTTAAGTAGCTATTCTTTTCTTCTGCCCACTTAAAGAGAGTTAATGTTTTTGTGCATCTATAGCATGCTCATTAGTGTGCTGTGTGCTTGGTTATTTAGTTTTATACTCACGCCAGATGAAGAAACTGCTGGTAAGCAGCAAGCCAGTGTGGCAGTGGAAGATCGTTTTTTCACTTCAAAGTGTTTTGTTTGTACAGTCATTTTTGTTCATCTTAACATTACTTCTTGTATGAAATTGTAACTTTGCAGTTTTATAATTTGTATTTATTTTTAACCTTTTACTTGAGGACACTTTGAAGTTTATACCTTTGTTTTTTAAGCAGTTTATGGTTTTCAGGAAAAGTGAAAATTAACTGGTTTTTAAGAATGAGTATTTTGGGGCTAGGGATGCAGCTCAGTGGTAAATCATTTGTCTCACATGCACAAGGCTATGAGTTTAACCCCAGTACCACCACTGAAAAAAAAAAAAGATTTCTTTTATCTTTTTTCTTTCCTAGCTTTTAGTCAGTGCCTTTTTGTTATAAATGTCATTCTGTCCTGTGGTAGGTGATAGTTGTCAGAACTAGCTCAAAAGACTCTTCTTTTTACCTTATTTAGGTGGTGTCCCAGCGAATCAGTACTGTGGATCTCTCATGTTACAGCCTTGAGGAGGTTCCTGAACATCTCTTCTACAGTCAAGATATCACCTACCTCAATCTGCGACACAACTTCATGCAATTAGAAAGACCAGGGGGCCTCAACACACTCTATAAGTATGTGGAGAATAGGTTTCCAGACCAGATGTTGAAACCAAATTGTAATTGGTATCTTAGTGATTTATTCAGTGAACATACTTACTGTATTGTCCATTTCCATTTCTACAACAAAATAGTCACAGCTGGTTAACATATAAAGCAAAGAAGCTTAAGTCCAAGATCACATAGCCCTGTTGGTTCAGCCTCTGGTGGGGGCAGTTTTTCTGCATTACATCATGGCAGATGACATCATGGTGGGAGCCCATGTGAGAGGGAAAGATCACATAGTGAGATGGGAAGCCAGAGAAATTCAGGGGTCAGGCTTGCTCTTTTAGAACAGCTCAGGGGCCAGGGATTTAGCTCAGTGGCATTGTGCCTGCCTTGCAAGCTCGAGGTCCTGAGTTCGATCCTTGGTACCAGGGAAAAAAATAAAACAAAAACAGCCCATTTTCTTGGGTACTAACACACTCCGAGAGACCAGGATTAATTCTTTCTGAGGGCAGCACCCCTAATGGCCTGATTACGTAATTACTGAAGATCTACCACTTCGCAGTCTTACTCAGGCTTCTAGCCCATGAGACATGGGGGGACAAAGCACATCCAAGCCATAGCACTTACCATCCTATATATTATATTCGAAAATTTCTTGTTTTGAAGTTAAATTATGATTTTTAAAAAATTACACAGTTCTTCCACCTCCTTGTTATTCCCCCTCCTTCCCCAATAAAACAGTAGATTGATGCAAATATTCTTTTACAGAGACAACAAGAAATTGTGGTGGTCTGGAAATCGTTTTATGTGGTTAACAGTGAAGCATGGTAAATTGAGAGATTTAACAGTGAAAGATTATTTTTTCATTAATGGAAAGTATTTGATACAGAGGTATCAAATTTAAATGATTTCAAACAGGCCTAATTTCAAGAATTCTAGAGTCAGGGCTTTGTCTTTACTTTGTACCCGCTCTGACTGACTCTTGAGTCTTGTCAGCTAATGAAATGTCTTGTCTTCTCATAAAGGAACACTTTCATCCTAAAGGACTATGACCTACATATTTTTCTGTCTCTTTTGCTACAGTATATTCTCCAAATCCTTCCCTCCACTCATCCCACCTCCTTTCTCCATTTATGAAAGCATGGCTGGAAACTGGACATGGTGGTGCACTCTTATAGGCCTAAGCTACTTACGAGGTTAAGGTGGGAGAGTTGCTTGAACTCCTGAGTTCCAGATCAGCCCAGGCAGCACAGCAAGACCCCATCACCCAAAATGCTGAGTATGGTGCCACACATTTGTCATACTAGCTACTTAGGAGGAGGAGGACGGATTGCAAATTTGAGACCAGCTTAGGCAATTTAGTGAGATTGTATCTCAAAATGAAAAATCAAAAAGCCTAGGGAAGTAGCTCAGTGGCAAGTGTGAGACAAAAACACAGAAGGATGGCTAAGACTAAATATGTGATATAAACGGCTGGACTTCTGGTTTGGAGAAATGGGACATTAAAGCATTCATAGTAAGTAGTAAGGCTGGGCGTGGTGAGACATACCTATAATTCTAGCACTTGCAAGGCTGAGAGGATACTGCTGAGAGTTCAAGCCCAGCCTGAACTATGTAGTCTCAAAAAACAAAGTATTACATGGTGATCAAAAAGATAATTCACATGGTAGTGTGAGGAGGAGGAGGATCACATTGCAAGTTTGACAGGCTGGGGAGTTAGCTCAGTGGTTAACACCTCCTGCTTCACAAGCTCAAGATCCTGAGTTCTATTCCTGCTACCCATGCCCCATCCCCCCAAAAAAAACAACACATTGCAAGTTTGAGCTGAGCCTGAGCAATTTAGTGACACGTTGAGACCATATTTAGAAAAAAAAATGTGGTGGAGTGGAGATTGCAAAGGCCCTGAGTTTAATATCCAGTTATTGTCAAAAAAGAGATAAAATATACATTAAAATGAGATATTTTACATTTTTACTTATTAGCTTATAACTCCAGAATAATTTTCAGAAATGGACTTTATTTCATCTGATAATGTGTTTCAGAAATATTTTTAAAGTATAAGTCTATATTTAGTTATGGTATATTTTAATAATGTTTGTTTATAGATATCAAAACAAGCTATAATGTTAAGTCAGTTTGTGGTATCTCCTGAGTTACTTTGAAAAATAGGATTAATCCAGTTACAGGACTGGATGGGAAATTCTGAACTCAAGGCACCAAGTCAAATAATCTGTAATCAAGATCAAGTCATCTGGAAGTCAAATATTGAGAATTTAGATGAGGAGGATCTGATGAAGTACCAAGGATTCACATCTAAGAGCTTGTGATAGGTCATTGTCATAGAGAACAGCACCTCTACTTTACCGTCATATGCTTGTATAATAACAAAGTATGACACATACTCTCAGAGTGACCCCTGTGGACCCACTTTATGATGATACCATTTTTATTTGAGACCATGTAAACAAACTGTTTTCTACAAACAAAACAGGAGCACTAAAAATGACCATTTCATATTGTGTATCAGAACACATCACAGTAAAATGCTCTCACATACCTGTTTTCAGGCTCAGCTGGCCCATTCATTTCAAGAGGGTTTTGAGCCAGTTTAACTTGGGTATGATAATAGAAGTTGTTTATAATGAGGTTTGATCTGTTATTTGTTAGCTATGCCTTCATATGAGTTGATTTAGTTTTGTGAAGACTTTTGATACTACATACTTGTAGAAAAAAGATTTCAAGCATATCAAGTGTAACTTGATAGAAAACAATTGTACCGGCATGAGCTATTTGTCAAGAATTTTCTGCCTTTTTAGGGAGTAGAGAATTGCCATCACACTATACCTGGTCTGCTCGATAGTGTGGACTGTGTATTAGTCATCTTGGTACCCTCTGTCCTCACACAACATTTGGTATGTAGTGAGTGATACTTATGGAACAAATTGAAACGGATCACTTAAAATAGATCATAAAAGGCCATTGGTGTCCCTTGTAAGTTATGTAACAGATTATTGAAGTACAGTATACACTTTTGTGTTTGCCCTTTAGATTTTCTCAACTGAAGGGCCTGAACCTGTCCCACAATAAACTTGGGTGGTTTCCTGTATTGCTTTGTGAGATTTCTACCCTGACTGAGCTCAACCTTTCCTGTAATGGATTTCATGACTTGCCAAGTCAGATTGGCAACCTGCTAAAGTAAGTATCTAACTTTTACTAGATTTCTCTTTTCCCTTGAAGAATAAGGAGTTCTATGGCATTTGGACTAAAGGTAGTGTCCTGAGCTTTTGCAGTAAAATAAATCACTAAATTTAGAATTCTAATTAGCAGCAGATCTCTCTAGTTAGCAGATTGATTCTAGAGATCTCCATCCCTCCAGCAGTGACCAGTGCCCCCATTTCAACAGCAGACATCCTGACTTTTAACATTGCTTTTCTTTTTTTTTTCCCCTGACTTTAATGTTGAAATTTATTTGTGGCATTAAGTGTGTATAGGTCAAGAGTTAGGACATTTTATGTTTTTAGAATTGATAAATTAGTGACAAAATTAGAATCCATAACTCTAGTTCTATTCATTTGAATGAAACCTTTCATAAAGTAGACTTTTTTTTCCCCCCTTAGCCTTCAAACACTCTGTCTCGATGGCAACTTTCTGAATACTTTACCTGAAGAATTGGGAAATCTGCAACAGCTTTCCTCCTTGGGAATTTCCTTCAACAACTTAAGTTACATTCCTGATGTTTATGAGAAACTCACAATGTTAGATAAAGTGGTTATGGCAGGAAATTGTCTGGAAGTCCTGGATTTAGGGGTACTGAGCCAGATGAGCCATATCAAGCATGTGGATTTAAGGTGAGGCCATTCTTTACCACAGCTTCCTTTAGATTGACGCTGATGGACCTTTATGTCTGTTCCTTAGAAAGACTTAACAACGTTAGGATTTTAGGGCTGGAATGTAGTAGCTCAGTGGTAGAGGGGAAGTCTAACAGGTGTGAGGCCCTGGATTCAATCCCTAGTACTGCAAGAAAAGGAAGGATTTTAGAATACTTTAGAAGTAGACATTTTATTTATTTTTTTATTTCTTTAATTTGGGTTTTTTTGGTACTGGGGATTGAACTCAGGACTTTACACTTGCAAGGCAGGCATGATACCACTGAGCTAAATCCCCACCCCCAGAAGTAGGCATTTTAAAAACTGTACTAAAACTTCATTTTTCATACACTAGAGGAGAAATTAAGGATCAGGTAGGTGTGCCACATAGTACAGACCATCAAATTACCTTTGAGGAAGGTTGTTCTGACTTACCCTCCCAGCAACATTTTATGAAATTTGTTTCCTCACGTTCCTATCTATGTTGGATTTTAATAGTCTTTTTCCTTATTGTCAGAAGATAGAAATACTTTTTATTGTTTGAATCAATATTTATTATGAGTAAGGTTGAACATCTGTTTATATGCATACTATTAGTAGTTTGTAGTTTTCCATAAACAACTATTTTTCTGTTGAGTCATGGGGTTTCTTCTTGGTAACATTGTATGATACTGAAATGTTGAAGGCTTTGCTAAGAAATTTTCATACAGTCTTATTTTCTAGTCATAATAAGATGGTAAAGCCAGGTGTGGTGACGCACGCCTGTAATCCCAGCACTCGGAAAGCTGAGGCAGGAGGATTGCTGTGAGTTCGAGACCAGCCTGGTCTACATACATAGTGAGTTCCGGGTCAGTTTCAATTACATAGTGAGACCTTGTCTCAAAAAACCAAAAAAAAGATGGTAAAAGACCCTGGATGTTCTGTCATTTACAGGAAGCCATTAATGTGCTTTGTAAAGAACAAGTAAGAGATTCCTTAAAATATAGGAAAATGAGAGCAGGCCTATGTGCATCAAATGATATACTTGTATGGAGAACCAAGAAGTAATTTTATAGAGCTTGCCCTAGTTAGTGTCAGTGTGAGTCTTAGCACTGGTGACAGAGTAAGCACAGCAGCGGGAGGAAGGGTATCTGATTCCTCTCAGATTACGTAGCTATTCACCCATGCAGAAGTATATTCGTCTTTTTTGCCCTTCATTGCTACCTATTCTTATTAAATGCCTGAATGTAACTGATTACCTGTTTTGTGGGACTGCCCCCCCGCCTCATTTTTTACTGCCTCAGCCTTCCAGGTAGCTGGGATTGTGAACATGTATCACCATACCCAGGTTTTCCTTCTCTGTTTAATTTGTGTATGTATTTTCCAGTCTGGACTGTCTAACTTAGCTGCACCTTGAGTTCTTTGTTTATAAACTATTTGTGATTGATAAACAACATTTGCATAATTAGGCAGGTAGTGAAATTCCTATATTGTTTAGGAGAGAAAGGGAGCATACCTCTTTCATTTTTCTTTTGGTAGGCGCACTATACAGAATTATTTCTGATTATTTCTTTATTTCTGAATATTAAGGATGAATCACTTGAAAACCTTGGTTTTTGAAAATCTGGAGGGAAATAAATACATCACACACATGGATTTGAGGGACAATCAGTTGACTGACTTGGATCTTAGCTCCTTATGTAGCTTGGAGCAGCTGCATTGTGAGCGGAACCAGCTGAGGGAGCTGACACTCAGTGGCTTCTCCCTGCGAACTCTCTACGCCAGTTCAAACAGTGAGTTCTCTTTACAACTTTTTTCTTTTTTTTCCCCTTTAGCTCTAGTCTGAACTTTCTAAGAACAATGACATTTGTCCTTTTCTACTGCTTTGTAGAATGGAGTTTGTGGCCCCTTGAGGTTTAGCTTTATCTCTCAACTTTGCTGTCAATACTTATGTGGTTGAGGTATATATAAAAAGACAAGGCAAAATACTTGTCATTCATTAAATGATCATAAGAAGCATTATGCAAAATATGCCTAAAACAGTATCAGTATTATTCTAAAACAGGTTGACAAACTGTGGCCCAGGGTTTAAACCTACCCTACTGTCTCTTTTTCATTCCTTATCGAATGGTTGATATACTTTTTTCTTTTTCTTTTTTTTTTTTTGAGACAGGGTCTTGCTGTGTAGTCCAGACTGGCCTTGAACTCACTATGTATCCAGGCTGCACTTGAATGTTTGGTGACCTGCCTCAGTTTTCTGAGGGCTGGGATTACAGGCATGTGTCAACATGCCTGGCTTCTCAAAACCTTTTAGTAGTTGGTTTAAAAACAAAAAAAGAATAATTCTCAAGATATGGAAATTCTATAGAATACAAGTTTCTACATTTACCAAGTTTTATTGGAGCACAGCCACAGCGATAGATATATATACATTGTTTATACATTAATTGCTTTTATATGAAAGTGGCAGAACCACTTTTACGGTTTACAAAGCTTGAAATATTTACTATTTAGCCTTTTACAAAAAACATTTGCCAGTCCCTGGTTGAGAAGCTTGTGCTGTTGTAGTTCAGAGAAATAAACCCCTTGTTCGCAGGGATTTGCTTCAGGAATATTTGTAAATGTAAAGGGTCTCATATTTGTTGAGGTCGTTCTTATGGGGAGTGCTTTTTTACCATAGAAGATATACTTACTTTTTCAATGTTTAAAGAAGGGAAGGATGAGGTCCTGTCTCAAACTAAGAAATAAAAAGGGTTGGGGATGTTGCTCAGTGGTAAAATGTTCCTAGATTCAATGTCCAGTACCATAAAAAAAGGGGTGGGGGTGTTTCAGTTTCATCAAGTATTAGAAAAATGCAAATTTAAGTAATACCACTTTATACTCATCAAATATAAAAAGCTAAGTGTAACCAAAGATGAGGAGAAACATCTTCTGGAGCCATCACATGCTTCCAGTAAGAAGGTTGACCATAAAATCATCTCAGGGCTGGGGATTTAGCTCAGTGGTGCTGCTGCCTGCCTCAGAAGAACAAGGTCCTGAGTTCTATCCCCGGTACCAAACAAACAAACATCTCGGAGCAATGTGACCATGTTAGAGAAACTGAAGGTCCATGTAAACCATCCTCTAGCAATTCCCTGCTTGGAATGTAGCCCAGAGACACTCAAATGTGAACAAGGAGATGTTTATCACAGTGTTGTTTTTGTTATGGTGAAAAACACCAAGACTGTCAATAAGAAAATGAGTAGATCAGTTGTGATATATTTATGCAGTAGAATATTGCACAGCAATGGAAATGAGTATACTGCCACTTTGTGGATTGATGTGCATAAACTCAAACATTTTTTAGCACAAAAGAAAGTATATAGTTAAATATAATAATTATCAAGATTTATAATACCATTTTCTTAGCTGTAAGTATGTATAAAGCATGAAATAAGCCACTTTGTGGATTGATGTGCATAAACTCAAACATTTTTTAGCACAAAGGAAAGTATATAGTTAAATATAATAATTATCAAGATTTATAATACCATTTTCTTAGCTGTAAGTATGTATAAAGCATGAAATAATCCATGGGATTGAAAAATCCTATTCACTATGATTTACTTCTTGTTTATGTATAGTATTTTAATTCTTAAAAAAAATAAAACATAGGGTAGAATATAGATTTGCTAAAAGCTACATGATGGATGAAAGAGTATTCATTTTATTTGCTTTTCTTATCTGAAGAATACATTATTAGAATTAAAAAGTTAATGCCTAATGTTTTCATTACCTCTTATGTTATAGAAACTTCAAATTGTGGCTTAGATTGTTTGGGTTAGAAGAGGGTCACAACTGATAAGTATTGACTGGTGCTTTGTATGATACTGTGACATGGTAATAGGTCCCTGCCATGGAGAAATTCCTTATCAGACCCATCTATTTCTTTAATCTAGAAAGTTTGAGTGCCTGGCCCTACTGGAAGAGATCTCACTAACACACAGGCAGTTATTGTTGGTCACTGAGATTTTATCATAGTTGTGCTCTAAACAGTTTTTTTCAGAATTTTTTTTTTTTTTTTTTTTTTTTTAAAGATACTGGGCATTGAACTTTACACTGAGCTACATCCCAGCCCATAAAAATAATTTTTTTTTTAAATTTTTGAAACAAGGTCTTGCTAATTCTCCAGGTTGCCCAGGCCAGGTTGAAACTTTTGATTCTTTTGCCTTAGCTTCTCAGAGTGTGCCACCATGCCCAGCTTGTAGAATTGTTAAATTCTGCAACCTGGAAGAATTCATATAAACAGTTGCAGTTTTAATGCCTCAAGGTAAAGAACCCAGGTTTACAAAAGAAGTTATCCAGAGGATCATTTAATATAGGAAAAGATGCTCAGCTTCACTCTTCATCAGGGAAATACAAATTGAAACCTCAGGTACTGTCACTATACACCTACCAGAATGACAGCAATGACAAAGACTGAAGATACCAGGGGCAGTTGTTAGGAGTATAATTAGTGCAATCACTTTAGAAACTCATAGGCTTATATTCAACATGACTGCTTATATTTATTCACAAAGATATGGACTGAAAAACATTCATAGAAACACTGTTCATAGTCACCCAAGCTAGAAAACATTAAATGTCTGTCAGCTCTAACCTGAATAAACAGTGGCACATTCACATCTCTATATAAACATGGGAATGAACTATAACCATATGCAGTAATATGAACAAATCCCACAAGCATACTGTGAAGTGAATGAAGCGAGAGGAAAAAAACATTTATTTGTGTAGTTAGGCAAAGCCATCTGTAGAATTCAGAGTCGGGATAATTAGTGTTCCCCTTATGGGGCAGTGATTAGAAGAGAAGGTAGGAGGTTACCTCTGGAGTTGGTAAAATTTCTATGTCCTCATCTGCCTCTTGGTTCCATTGGTGTGTTCAGCTTGTGGAAGTTCACTGATTGGTACATGTAACAATTATTTCTGTATTTATTTTATATTTTAGGGCTGAAGATTTAGCTCAGTGGTTTATTTTATATTTTAAAGGTTAGACTTGCTAGAAAAAATATCCACTAACTTAGTAATGGTAAGTAGTACTAATGATATTGAACATTTGCATATAAATCTAGGGCAGTAACAGGATCTTTTAATTAGCTGTTGGATTTATTTTTCAAGACAAATCAGGATCAGTTAGCCAAAATGAGTTGCCCAGTAGTTTGATGTTTAGTCATTTGATTAGATGTCAATATTGGTCTTGTGACTTTCCTTTCTTTTTCCTTGTTCACACTCATTTGTTTTCTTCTTTGGAGGATGTCACTAACACCTGATCATTTTTCAACAGGGCTGACAGCAGTGAATGTCTACCCTGTGCCAAATCTACTCACTTCCCTGGAACTCTCCCGGTGAGTGTGTCTCATGAGAGTGGTGCTTATTTGATTCTTAAGAACTAGATATGAATTCTTTGGCAGTTTTTGAACTATAAGAAATCTAAATATATTGAAATATTTGGATAATCTGGAAAAAGGCAAAAGTATGAGTTGGGGAAATAAGTCTAATAGCTTTATAGTTAAAAGAAGGACTCTCTTGGAATGGGAAGTTACCTATAAATTATCCCTTCTAAAAGACTGTGGGTTGAAGAGGAAGCCTGTTGCAATGGTGGCAAACTGAGCTGTTTGCAATCGTTGAAAGCTCTAAAAGGTTTGCTGTCACTGGACTACCATCTCACAGTAGTGATTTGCTTTTTTTAAGTTGGAATCAGATAATTCTTTTGTGATTGTGGGGGAATTGAACCTAAGGAGTGCTGAGCTACATCCCCAGGTTTTAAAATTTTGAGACAGAGTCTTGCTAAATTGCCCAGGCTGGCCTCAAACTTGATATTGTCAGCCTTCTCAGGTGCTGGGATTGCAAGCAGGTGCCACCTCTCGTGGCAACATCAGATAACTTTCTTTTTACATAGTAGCTTTAAATTTTTAAATTCTATTTTATTTGTTTATTTATTTTTATATTTTCATGACTCTGTGAGCCTGACTTATAATAATTATATTCAGGACTTTATTCTCTGGTGATCAGGAATAAACAAATGAGGTTTACTATATACTGTTATTCTTTTTTTTTTTTTTGGTACCAGGGATTGAACTTGGGGTCCTTGTACTTGCAAGGCAGGTGGTGGAACCACTGAGCTAAATCCCCGACCCTAACTACTGTTACTCTTTAAACACTGTGTTAGGCATTCAAGGGCAGTGGTTGAATTTTATAGTCTACTGGAGAGATCAACATTCAGACAAGCAGTTACAGGGCCACATCATAAATGCTACAAATATAGAGTGCTCAAAGCAGTCAGGTGACAGTGGGCTGGGTTGTATAATGATCAGGTTTGTTATGATGGTTAAATGAAATAATTGATACAAAATACATAGTATAGTGCCTGGCATATAGTAGTCTCTCTAGGTAAGTTTCTTTTTTAGTTACTTTTTATCATTGTAATTAAGCTGTCATTTTAGATTCCTTTCCATCCATTTCTTTCAGTCATATCTTCTTAGCAAAATCCCAGTACAGATCATTGCTAGTGTTTTACCTTTCCCACTGAACTTGATCATTGCTGAATAAAATCACATCCATTTAGCTCCACCAAATTCACAATTTGAAGCTTATTGGTTCTTTTTCTTGTCAACTCTTTCTAATGTCCTTGGTATATGTTCTCAGTTATACTACTTCCTTTACACCCCCATCATCTCATGCATGTGAGTTTTGCTTCCTATTAGATTGAGAAAATAGAGGCCATTGTGGGTGATTTCCCTGGGCTTCCTATCACCCCACTTGAGTTTATGTAGACTCATGCCCATTTTCAGCTTCTTTCCTCTGTTCAAGGCCAGTCCAGCTGTCTGTGCCTTTGACCTCAGCCACTCCTATCACTTTGGACTTGGTCTGTTTTTGCCCCTTTCTTCTCTCATGTTTGTTTATTGTCTTCCTTTTTCTCTATCTGCACAAATACACAAACACATGCGTGCACGTGCACACACACACACACACACACACACACACACACACATACATATTGGTACTGAGAATCAAACTGGGGACCTTGTGCTTGCCAGGCAGGCAGCAGAACCACTGAGCTAAATCCCTGGCCCCGTATCTTTTCTGTCTTGATACCAAAGTTACTTTACCTCATAATCCTTATGGCTATTGCTCTCTAATCACTCTCACCTCCTTTTTGTCCAAATTCTTATTCTCAGGAATTATTTGCATTTATTACCACAGTTTCCTCAGTTCTTTTTTCTTTATTCTAACTTGCTCCCTTTTCATTGAACATATTGCTTCCTTGGCTAACTATTGCAGTCGGATTTTTTTTTTCATTCCATATAGGCCATTGTTTCTGTCTCTCTTGTATATTCCCTTTCCTTAGCTAGCCCTTCAAAGGTCACTTATCCCCAGGGTTCCATCCCTGACCCATTGCACCTATCACTGGACATGATCTCATTTACTCCAAGGATGTCAGGTATACTCGGTGTCATTGTCACCCATTTTCCAGCCCAGGCCCTCTTCTCTCAGCCTGAGATCCATGTCTCCAATCTACACTAGGTATTTTGATGAGCATATCCCCAGGTACATCAGAAATGCACAAAATTAAACTTATTATTCACTCCTCTACCCACCTTAACTTGTTTGTCTGGTGTCTCTTTCAGTTTATGTTATTATCATCTCCCTAGTCTTTTAGGCCAGAAGCCTGAAAATAATTTTTTTATCCTTCCCTCTACTCTCCTCCCTATATCAAATCTATCTTCAAATAATTTTCATTTTTGCCTCCTAAATATTTCTAGAATTTCCTCTCACCTTTCCTCCCCTCAACTTTATTAATATTCATTTAGTCTTGTATCATTTCTTGTCTGCAATTGTAATTATTCTTTCTTTTATCAGTGGAACCACTTCAACAGACAGAATGTTCTATTTAAAGTACAAAGCCGACATTGTCTCTCCACTGTTTACAAACCCTTTAGTGAAGCCCATATATCAGCAGGATCAAGTCACAACCTTCCAGACATGATTTAGACCTGGTTCCAGTCTAGTTTTTCTGCTTTTATCACCCAGCACTAATTGCTCCAGCATCACAAAACTGCTTGTTCTCCTCATATATCATGCCATTTATTCCCTGGCTTATGCTAGCACGCCTTGCTTGGAATGTCTTCCTCATGTAAGGTCACAGTATAGCTTTCTTCATAGTTTAACCCGGATGTTGTTTCTTAGAGGGCTTGCCTTGGCCGATTTCAGGCAGTGTTCCTTTCACTATACTTACTGCCAGCAGTGTCTGCATTTCTCTTATACAGCACCTTATTTCATTCTGCCTCATTAAATCAACCCATCAACTGATGGATACCTTGAGGCATAGAGAAGTTAGGTCCCATCTAAAAATAAAATCTCTTTTAACTAAATACCTGCCTCATACTCTACTAAACATTTAAGTTCATATTTTCAGTGGTTTGATACTTTCCTCCCACTAATTGTGTTTTATCCCTGCTTACTCACCTTTACTCATTGTTAATTTTCTCTAGAATTTGCTTTTTTCTCCCCATAATTATTTATGGAACTTACACTCATTGGTGAAGTTTGTTTAAAATGATATTTCTACTAAAGCTTTCCTCACCTCTCCTTTGTCCCATACTACCACATGTGTTCTCTTCTACTGTTGAAAGCATTCTTACTGTCTTTGAACATGTAGCACAATTGATGCAGTATTACTGTATATGTTCAGGTACTTGTCCCTCCTCACCCTTCTGTTTTTTTTTTTGGGGGGGAGTTTGAGACAGGGTCTCACTATGTAGTTGGGACTGACCTGGAACTCACTATGTAGCCTAGGCTGGTCTTGAACTCACAGCAGTCCTCTTGCCTCAGCCTCCCGAGCGCTGGGATTACAGGCTTGCGCCACCACGTCTGGCTTCACCCTTCTAATTTAATAGCATTCTCTGCCTGCTGTATTGCACGTAATGCACCAGGGAATGCTTTGGAGATAGTGTGTCTGGCCTAAAGAGCTCATAGACTGGTTAACCTTGCTGTTTGGATGGAAAGAGTTCCACTTGTGTGTCAGCCACATTTCTGTAGCTCTGATAAAATACCTGTGATAGCTGGGCATAGTAGTGCATACCTGTAATCATAGCACTTAGGATACTGGGGCAGGAGGATTGCCTCAAGTTGAAAGCAAAGCTGAGCTATATAGTGAGTTCAAGAATAGCCTAAACTACATAGTGAGACCCTGTCTCAAAAACAAAAATACCTGAGATAAACTTAAAGCAAGGACGGTTTATTTTGGCCCATAGTTTCAGAGGTTTCAGTCCATGATTGCTTGGGCCTTGTGGTGAGACAGAACATCATGAAGAGAGCATGTGGTAGAGGAAACTTTACCTCAAAGCAGCTGGGAAACAGAGAGGAAGGGGCCAGGTTCCCAGTATCCCCTTCAAGGGCATGCCCCAGTGACCTAAAGTTCCTTCCATAGGCTCCCCTCCTAAAGGGGTTCCTGGTAGCACCACAAGCTGGTGACCAAGCCTTTAATGCATGGTCTTTGGGGGACAGTTTAAGATCTATACCATAATGTATCATCTTTTTTTTTTTTTTTAATTGCAGTACTGAAGATTGAACCCCCAGGTCCAGCGTGTGTACACACACACAAACACTGCATGCATTTTTTTTTTAACTTAGGTTCTCACTAAGTTGCTAAGGAAGCCAGGCTTGGCTTGAATTTGTGATTTTCTTGATTCATCCTTTCTGTGTGCTGGTATTGTAGGTGTGTACCACCATGTCCAGCTAAAACTTGTCTTTTTTTTTTTGGGTACCAGGGATTGAACTCAGATCCTTGTACTTGCAAGGCAGGCCACGGTAAACACTGAGCTAGATCCCCAGCCCTACAACTTGTCATCTTTAGTGAAGTCTTTTATTTATTTATTTTCTGTAGAAACCTGCTGGAATGTGTCCCTGATTGGGCCTGTGAAGCAAAGAAGCTAGAAATAATAGACATGAGCTACAATCTTCTCACAGAGGTTCCTATGAGGTATGTATACATATGAATGTGTATATTATATCTTTATATGTTTATTTATGTGTGTGTTTATTTTCCTAGACTTGAGTTGCTTTACAGTTGTTCAGTGAACATTGAATACCTGCTGGTGGTGTTATATGTCATAAGGAATATAGTGATGGCTGATACATAGTCTGGCCTGTAAGAGCCTTAGAAGAGAATATTATGACAGCATAGGTAACTGTTATAAAATGTACTGAGTTGCTGGCATAGGTTGGTGATATGATAGTAATAATAGTTTGGGTTTTTTTTTTCTTTTTTTTTTTTTCTTTTTTATGGTATGCGGATTGAACCCAGTGCCTTCATGCTGAGCTATATCCTCAGCTCTTTTTTTATTTTTTGGTGCTGGGGATCAAACTCAGGACCTTGCGCTTTTAAGGGAGGCAGCAGAACCAGATTTCAGGAGCAAAATCCCAGTTCCTTTTTTAAAAATTTTTTATTTTGAGATAGGATCTCAGTAAGTTGCCCCAGTGGGATTTAAACTCTGATCATCCTGCCTCAGGCTTGCAGAGTACTGGGATTATTGGTGTGCACCAACAATCCTGATTTAATAGTTCATTTTATAGGATGAGTTATTATGAGCTGAGTAATACCTTAAGAACTTCACTTTTATGATCTTACTGAGAATTGAACTCAGGGTCTTGTGCTTGGAAGGCAGGTGCATTGCCACTGAGCTAAATCCTGGGCTCTCCTAACCTATTAATCTTATTATATATGTGGTGTCATTTTTATCTTAGATATTCGAAAACTAAAGAGCTATTAGGTAACTTGTCCGAAGTGGTACTTAACCGGAAAGTAATAGGAGCTGGCACATTTGAATGTAGTCGTTTTTGTTGCAGAACCTTTACTTTTAATTACAGCACTAGATAAATTGTTTAAGAAATTCAAAAGATCTTTTAATAATTAGAGAATGCTGTGTGGAGAAGACTGTGTTTGAACTGACCTTTACCGGGTGGTGGGATTTCTCTAAGTGGAAACGGAAGGAGAGTGGTGCTTGGCAGGAGTTGGGGCAGGGTGGTGGGGGGGTTGTATTCAAAAGCACTGAGATGTAAAATGTGTGTTTTTGGAGTTGTAAGAATTTAGCTAGAGTCTTGGTCGCATAAGAGGTCTGAGCACAACCTCAGACTGTATCATTTACTGTTCACTGTGAGATTTTTGACAAGTCAGTCACATAATCTTTCTGAACATTGTTAAATGACTTACACATTTTAAGCACTCAAAAATAGTTTTTATTTAATGAAATTTTATTACAAATTACATTAAATCCAAAGAAATTATTAATAAATGTTATCTAAGCTTCATTTCTGTCTAGACTTAGAATCTGAATGGACTTATTCTAGAAATTGCTTTAGCTTTGAATTTTGTACTGCTTATGTTCATGAATTCACCTTTTCTCAGAACGACCGTGCTGACTTCCTGGTGGGTGGTGGGTAACATATGGTCTTGCTGCTTTCTTGGCTGGAGCCCTTGTTAGTGATTATACAGTCTAGAAGGAATGTGTTTTTATTAAATCAGTAGACTAATTTTTAGGTAAATAGCATAGGACAGACTTAGAAAGACTTATGTTTTATTTGTTTCTTTATATTGTCTCCCCTCAGAATTCTGAGTAGCTTGAGTCTTAGGAAACTGATGGTGGGACACAATCATGTCCACAACCTTCCAGCACTGGTGGAGCACATCCCTCTGGAGGTGCTGGATCTCCAGCATAATGTTCTCACCAGGCTGCCAGACACCCTCTTCTCCAAGGCCTTAAAGTGAGTACCAGGGAGGTTTTTGGTTTTCAGAAGAGTGGAATCATTGGCTAAACAAACTGCATCAGCTTGTCATTGGAGTGACCTTTGGAATTGGCCTGATATTCCAACTGTAGGTGGAAATTTAGTTGTAATTTTTGTGAAAGAAAATATGGTAGTGTTTCACAAGGTAGTAATCTCTAACTTAAAGTTGAAATAATCATCGAATACTTAAGAAGTTTGTGTCATAAAACAATGTCACATAGGTTGGGAAGATTTAGGCTTTCATTCCCCCAAAATAAATACAGTTGTGACATTTAAAGAGAAATTCCAACATTCCAATGTAGCTTCCTTGGTCAATTTTCAGCCTTTGCGTTGAAAAGAAAAGGATATACCACTAAAGTCATTTGAATTCTAGCTTTATCCATCTTTGAGTTACATTCTTTGTTTGCAGAGCTTTTTGCTGCCTACTTTGAAAACTGTATCTACAGATAATAGCCTTCCAAAAGGTATTTGGCATATCATTGCAAGTTAATAAATACATGGTATATCTTCCTATTTTAAGACCTCTAATCAGGTTTACCTAATGTGTATGTCAACTTTAAACTAAGTTTTATTTTTTGTTTGTTGTGTTTTGTAGGTTTTTTGGTGGTACTGGGGTCAGGCTCAGAGTCTTGCACATACTAGGCAGTCAGTCACTCTACCACTGTGCTACCTACCTGTCCACCATCCACATATACCAGTTCCTTTCATGATACTCTTCTACAATACAAGGAAAGCAATATCATCTTCAGTATAGAAATGAAGAAAGCAGTGATAAGTGTAGTAATTTAATATGGGGCTACAGGAGATACGCAAAAGCATTTGGTTGACAAATATTTGCTCTTGGTTTAGCAGCTTGTGTATCTCTTACTCCATAATACACTTGGCTATTCCTCAAAATAAAATTTTTGAAAATTAAAAAAATGTTTCAAGGAAATTGTCTTTTCAGAATGTTCATCTGGAGGCTTGATACAGCAGTTAATTAACAAGTATTTGTGAGCAGTATATTTCACTGCATTAGTTCTGATGACAGTCTGAATAAAACTTGTTTACCATCTTAGAATCTGTGTTAAGGAAGTTAGCTGTAGGAAAATGTCTAATACTCTGTACAGAGCAATTTTGGGACACAGCAGACACATCCTCAGTAAGCTTAAAAATGAATTAGGGATATGAATCACACAACATGAAGATTTAAGAATGTACAAGTTTAAATGTATTAGCTTTTATGAAGATTGTTTTATGAAGATTGTTCATATATATACCAAATACTATTTTTGGCAAGAAAAAATTTTTTTGGTACCAGGGATTGAACTCAGGACCTTGTGCTTGCGAGGCAGGAACAGTGCCATTGAGCTAAATCCCTGGCCCCTTTTGGCAGATTTTAAAGGCATACTATGTCCTACCTGTTAGAATGCCAAAGGTAGATTGGGTTATGATCCAATGTTAATAAATTGTGAACATGCTAACATTTTTGTATTTTTCTTATGGAAGAATAGTCTTTTTCAAGTTCAGTTTGGTAATATGCTAAAAAAATCTTTATATATTTTTTGATCATATAAATTTAGGAATGTCACTGAAAGAAATAATTGGATAAGGACCTAAAGATACTCATTACAATCTCTACAATAAATGCAGACAGCCTATGTGTCCATTACTAGGGACTTGTTATGAAATTGGCTAAATAAATAATGATACTGTTAAAACCAGGTGAATTTTTTTTCTGAAGGATTAATAGTTGAGATATGTATAAACATGATTCTCTACAACGTCCTTTCACTAGGCTCACAGGCAATAAAAAATGAAGCTAGGTTATAATCTAGCCATCACACAAGCCTGGGAAGATAGCCATGCTCATATTCTTTCCTCCTGGCTTGTATGAGTTGAGTAAAGGAATTTGGGGTTGGATAGACCCAATTAGAGAAAACTACATGCAGGTGATCACTTTTATATTTTTATTTAATTTTTAGTTTAGGAGGTTGAGATGGCAGCATTCCATACTCAGAGCGCATGCCAGTTCTTGATTAGAAGGCAACAAACACAAAAGAAATGATCTCTTTTGTGTCAGTCTTAGATACTTGAATGCATCTGCAAATAGCCTGGAGTTCTTGCCTTCTGCTTGCACTGGGGAGGAGAGCCTGAGCATGCTACAGCTGCTTTACCTGACCAACAACCTCCTGACAGATCAGTGCATCCATGTCCTGGTCGGGCATCCACACCTGCGGATCTTGCATCTTGCAAACAACCAGCTGCAGACCTTTCCGGCAAGGTGAATGAATGCATACTTTGATCCTTTTTAGTCATATCATTATTTCTGCATTTGTCAGATTAAATTATAGTCACCTGGCTATGACACTTCTTCATGTGAACTGATTGCTGTTAGATTTCACTAGTTCTCTGGGAAAATCTCATTCTACTAGTTTGTACTTAGTTGTTAGTGACCAAATAAATTGTGGTTAAAATGTGTTTAATTTTTCGTTCTAATTATTTAACATTCAACCTAGAAAATTACAAGCTTATGAAATAATTTTGAAGATAGTTTTTTCTTGTCAGTGCTGTATTATAAAATAACATGTGTTATATCTATTTTATGTATTTAATGATTGTTTGTACTACACGCCAGAACTTTGTAACAGTTATAATCTGTCTTCAGTGAACCTGCAATCAGATTGGAGAAATAGACAAGAATATAGGCAATTGTCATGAATTGTTAGTTGCACAGAGCCTGGGTTGCGTTAGGCCTGGAGGAAGAGATGAATTGTAGCCAGGTTATGTTTGTATGAAGACATGGGAGATGGGTTAATGTTTTCACTTTTTAGATAGTGGCAGTGGAGACACTTTCAAAATAGTCATTTGTAGTCACATATTCAAAAACTAAGAACATGGGACATGACATTTGATATAATTGTAATGAAATTTTAAATATCACATGAAGTTATTGAATTTCCATGACACACACACACACACACACACACACACACACACAATTTGAATAGAAATTACTTTTGATTCTCATTTAAATTTTTTTTTCTTTCTCAACCTGCGCTATGACACTCTCCCAGGCTCAGACAACATGAATTGAAATCTGCAACCTCAAAATTCTCCTCACTCCCACCCTTCCGCATTTACAAAGTTAAATTTTTATTTATTTAGTTTTTAGTGTTTCAAGACACGGTCTTGCTGTGTAGTCCCAGGTGGTTTTGAACTCACTGTGTAGTTCATTCTGGCCTCAGACTCATCATGGCAGTCTTCCTGCTACAGCCTTTTGAGTGCTAGGATTAGAGGCATGTGTCACCAAGCCCAGCTGATTCTCAGTTTATTTTACAAATTTTCTTAGAAATGTGACAAACTAAGAAAAATTAATTATTTTAAAACTATAATTTTATCAACATTTATAAAATGAGATAGAATTTAAGAAGGCAAGCAAAAAAAAAAGAAGGCAAGCAATGTAAACTGTATTACTTCCTTGAAAGAATAAAAACAATAGAATTTAAAATTAGTATAGAATCTTAATTTAAGGATGTGGTAGATTTCTTAAAATCTTACCAGATTAATTTAGTTGACCTAAAATATTTCATATAAAGTGAAAAACATCAGTTTTTGAAGCTATTGGATGATACCAGATTTACCTTTCAAAAACTAATGTATTTCACCCACTTTGATGGCACTTTTTTGGGGTTATCATCTTTTTGAAACAGTGTCTCACTATGTTATCTAGGCTGACCACTAACTCACTGTGTAGCCCAGGCTGGTCTCAAATTTAGGATCTTTCTGCCTCAGCCTCCCAAGGGATTACAGGCACGTACCTCAGTGCCTGACTCTAGTGAGACTTATTGTTGGAGGGTTCAAGTGAAAAAACACATCCAACAAAATAAAAATAAGAAAGTAGTAATAAAGAGGAGAAGTAATAGATAACACAAAATTAAAGTAATCCAGTTATAGATATCAAAGCAAAATGGAATTTAGGAGCAGCATATTAAAGAAAAGGTATGTTCCATACTGAACAATATGTCCTGAGCCAGTGTTAAAACTGAATAAGTGCAATCCAAATCTTGCTACTTTTGGACGGTTTTCAGACTCTAGCACAGTTCTGGGTGCTTGTAAGAAGCTGACTGAGGCAGCTGCATTGCTGTTTATGAGTCAGAAAGATTTAGGCAGAGAGAAGTATAAGGGAAAAGCATAAGAATTGGACATGGGAACATGATTTGTATAGTATTAAATAGATTATAAAAGTGTTTCTTTAATATAACATCATATTTAAAATTTTTAAAGTGTAGTTTCATACTTTAAAAGTAATTTCCTGCAAATCATACATCAGGAAGATGTATATACCCAGGCAGGTGCAGTGTGAAACATGCTCAGCAGCAGGTCAGCCTGAGATGTAGCAGGAGCAGTTACCTCTGTGAGCCATTGCCTTGCTGCTGTTTGCTTATTTCCTTTGCAGTGAACCAGGTCAGCTTCCTGTACTCCGTGGATGCTGTAAAATAACATTTATTGGAAGCTGCGCTTTTTTGATGCAGTATGGTATTTTGGTGTTTCTTTTCCAGCAAACTAAACAAATTGGAGGAACTAGAGGAACTGAACCTAAGTGGCAACAAGCTTAAAACCATTCCCACAACTATAGCAAACTGCAAAAGGCTGCACACCCTTGTTGCACACTCCAACAACATCAGCATTTTCCCAGAAATACTGCAGTTACCTCAGATCCAGGTACTTTTATGTGCTAGGATGATGTCCTTGTGGGGAAAATTTTAAGGGTGTGAGTGAGATACTTCTGTAATAAGGAAAAAGAAAGGTATGTGAATGGAATTACGTTCTTCTCCTAAGGAAGAGATATACTCCCTTCTAACATGCTTAGTTTATGATCTTAGTATATTTAATTCATTCTGGGGAAGAGATTACATTCCCCTTTGAGGATATACAGTATTGGGAATTTGAGCTTTTGGAGTAAAAAATTATCTTGTATTTACTTTTGATCTTTTTCTTTTTTCTGTTTCTTCTCAGTTTGTGGACCTAAGTTGCAATGATTTGACAGAAATCCTAATTCCAGAGGCTCTGCCTGCTACGTTACAAGACCTCGACCTGACTGGAAATACAAATCTCGTTCTGGAACACAAGACTCTGGACATGTTTAGGTGGGAAAAAGTCTGAAATTGAATTCACTTGAATTCTGAGGCCCACCAGCCCTCTGGGTTTCTTTCTTAGGACTCTGGCAACCTCAGTTAGTTAATAGAATGAAGTAGGCAAGAAAGCCTCTAGGTTCTCTTCTTTATTCAATTATGAATGGATGTTCTATCCAATAGTCAGTTTATTTATTTTGGTACTGCTATGTGGCTGCTATCCATACTGAATAATTTTGTGCAACATGCAGCAATGTTTAGGTGGGACAGGCCACATTACAACAGCTAAGGAACAATATAGTTAACTCATTGTACCAAACTTCATAGGATCATAGCACTTAAAATAAGTAGACAATTGGCTGAAACTTAAAGATCTTCAGTGTGCTTTTTTTTGGGGGTACTGGGGACAGAGCTCAGGACTTTGTGCTTGAGAGGCAGGTGGTGGCACCACTAAGCTAAATCCCCGGCCCTTCATTGTGCATTAATTGTAATAATATTTGGTCCTTACTTTTTCCTCCTGTCCCTTTCCTTCTTTTCCCCTTCCATCTGAGCCAGGAGTTCATCATTTTGTTTTCATTCATTCTCTCTAGAAATGCATCTGAGTCTGTCAAGAGCTTATTTTAAAAGCACATGTTATTGTTGAGACAGTTCTTATACAAAAAAGAAAATGGTTAATCTTTTCTTCCTCCATTTCCCACAGCCATATCACAACCCTGAAAATTGATCAGAAACCTTTGCCAACCACAGATTCTACAGTTACATCGACTTTCTGGAGCCATGGACTGGCTGAAATGGCAGGACAGAGAAATAAGTATGTGGGCTGTGGAGACTTGAGAAAGAAGAAGGCAGCCCTTTGTATCTGGGAATGGGTCTGATGCTCATAGCTAGGCCATGTTGTTTTGTTACACATAGATGGATCATAGAACATCAACATCAGATAAGATACTTCTGAGGCCATGGTAAAGTAAGATAAAAACAAAATGAATTTATATCAAACATCCCCTCCTTTCTCCTTATGCTCATTTTCCTTCCCTGCTGGTAAGATTTATTGCAGTGTTCAACCATGTGACAGCCCTGTTTTCTGACAGTCCACAATCTGGTATAATCCCCCACTTCCTCATACTGTCCCCAAAATGGCCCAACCCAAGCCAAAACCCTATACAAGGTTCTTTCCAACACCTTCTTCCCTGTATACCCCGGGATTCAATGAGATTCATTCTTCCTTACTGCAAGAGGTAATAAACCCAGCTTCAAACGTGTTAACCCTGGTCATCTTTGGCTGAATGGCATTGACAAAACTAATCCTTAATTGCTGCTATAGTAAAACATCTTTTATTTCCAGCCTTTCACAGTATTGCAAAGCTAATATGAATATGGCTGAATCCCCACTTTCCTTAGGATGTCAACTCTTTCGGGAGCTGCTTAATTATCTTAGATAGGGACTTTTTTCATGTAGACATGAAGATTTGCCACTAATATTCTTGATCTTGAACTAATATTCTTGAAAGTAAAAACTTTCTTTGATGATTGTACAGAACTTATATTTCTTTTCTAGGCTATGTGTGTCTGCCCTAGCTATGGATAACTTTGCAGAGGGAGTAGGAGCTGTGTATGGCATGTTTGATGGAGATCGAAATGAGGAGCTTCCTCGCCTGCTGCAGTGCACAATGGCAGATGTGCTTTTGGAAGAAATACAGCACTCAACAAATGACATAGTTTTCATGGCCAACACCTTCTTGGTATCTCACAGGTAAGCAAGTGGGTTGAATAATTCTTAACGGAAAATGAATTTCTCCAAAGCAGAAAGCCAAGGTCTAAATTATGGGTTCAGGAGTGCTCCTGTTCCTTCTTCCATGATTGGTCTCTCAGTATCAGCAGTGGGTGCACCGGTCACCTGCTTTTCTGTTGAGTCCAAAGGCTGCTGAGGATCTGGGAAGCTCAGTAAATATGTGCAAAAGGTTGTGGTGTGTATACGTATTTGTACATTTTGGGGAGGAAGGTGGTAAGCTTTCATAAGATTCTCCAAAGAATCATTGATCTGGTCAGATTCAGGCATTTAGAACACTTGTTATTAGGTTTTACCCAACTAACTTTATTCAAGTCTGAGCCATTTTAGGGAAAAACCCCATAACCAAACTATTGAAAATCTCTTGGTAGCTAATGGAACATCTTGTATATCAGGTGGGTTGCATAAAGGATATGCATAACCGAAAGGTTGTTAACTTTTTATGATCAAGGCTGAAATGGAGCCATCTGGAGCTCACCTGGTTTTATCTGTCATTATAACACAAAGCATAGTGTTAGGAAGAAATCTGTTTTTTCAGAAGAATTGAGCTAGAGACTTGGCAAAATAATGCTTTGGAAAAGGGACCTTAATTTATGAAGAAATTCTCAAGTGCCAGGCACTTGTTCCATGCATTTCTCATCCTGTGTCTTTAATTTTCAAATCAAGCCAAAACAGGTATATATTTTGTCAGAGAAATGTCTGAGAGAAGTAACTTGCTGAGATTCTCTAGCCAATAAATAGCAGAGATGGAATTTGTCACTAGATTCTCCTGCTAGTGTCTGCTATGTGTTAGTATGATGTCCTGAGTGCGGGCACATAGGTGCCATGTATGTGGAGAAAACACAAGGAGAATTATGGTCCTTCCTTCAAGAAACTGACAACCTGACTGATTCTTAGTGGGTTTTTTTTCAGGGCCAGTGTCCTCAGCACCCCCAGGAACTTGTTAGAAATGAAGATTATTGGGCCAGCCTCTTAATCCCCATTCAGAAACTCAAGGGGCAGGACCCAGCAATCTGTATTCGAACAATTACCAGACCCTTCAGATGATTGCTGCAGTTTCAAAAGCCCTGAATTAGGAAGTCTCTGATCAGATGCAAAGCAGTAAAGATGCACATATCAGCTCCACCTCCTTCTTTAAATTTGTTTCTCCATTATCTGAGAATGGAAGGCATTACTCCTTACCACCATCACCTGTATCAAAAGTCTGCCTTCACATGGATAAGGGTGAGACTGTTTCATGATCGATCCCCTTGGCAGAAAAACAAAGGATGGACATAAAGGACCACAACTTTTTTCTAAAACTAGCTACTGTATTTGCATATTCCCCTTTTTCTAAACAGGAAGTTAGGAATGGCTGGCCAGAAGCTGGGCTCCTCTGCTCTCCTGTGCTATGTTCGCCCTGACACTGCCGATCCAACAAGTAGTTTTAGCTTGACTGTGGCTAATGTTGGCACATGCCAAGCAGTCCTCTGCCGAGGTGGGAAGCCTGTACCATTCTCTAAGGTCTTCAGCCTGGAACAGGACCCAGAGGAGGCCCAAAGAGTAAAGGAACAAAAAGCCATCATAACAGAGGTATGTCGTACTCTCTTCCAGGCGCTTCTGTTAACCAAAAAATCTAGTGAAGGTTACTTTATGTAGAAGCTATGAGGTCGGTTTTCTTTCTGTCATGCTTTGTAAATTACATTCAGTCCAGATAAATGTTCAATTTGTGTGGTTTTACTAATAGTACTAGAAGAAAATCTATTGAGCAGTTAGTGGCAAAAAGAAAAAGCAAAATTAATTAGAAATGAAAAATCTGAATTCATTATCCTATAAATGAATAGCTAGCAAGTAAAATTAATGTTGTATTCCCCTCAGCTCCCAACTCATTTGCTTCGTTATTCCAAACAGAAAAGCTCTCATTTGGAGAGCAAAGTTTCAGAATATTTTTTTCTTGTTGATACTGTACTGTATGTGACTTAGTGTGCTCCAGTGTTCGTTCTATTTTGGTGGTGTAGTATCATGTATCTCTGCTATTTTATAACTTTTCTCCTTTTTAAGAAATTAGCATCACTTTTTTCTTTCAGACTTAGCATGTGAACATTATTTACTATAAAGCAGAATTCTGTTCAGATCTTTTGCCCATTTTAAATTGGATTGTTTATTGTTGAGTTTTAAGAGATTTCTTTGTATGTTTTAGAAACAAGTTTTTTATCAGATACTGTGTTTTGCAAATATTTTCTCCTGGTATGAGGCTTATCTTCCCATTCTCTTAACAGTGTCTTACAGAGCAGAAGTTTTTAGTTGTAGTGAACTCCCAATTACTAGTTTTTTCTTCCCTCATTGATTGTACTTTTGGTGTTCTTTCTAAAAATGCATTGCCAAACCCAAGGTCATCATGTTTTCCTCTGTGTTATCTTCTAGAAGTTTTATACTTTTTAAGTTTTACATTTATATTTTTGTTTCACTTTGAATTAATTTTTGTGAAACGTGTAAGCCCTGCCCTGTCTCTAGATTCTTTGCTCTTTTGTTTTGTTTTGTTTTCTTTTCTTATGTGTATGTCCAGTTGTTGAGGAACCATTTGTTAATAGACTGCCCTTTCTGCACTGTAGTCCCTTTTGTACTTTATCAAAGATTAGTTGATTTTATTTGTATGGGTCTGTTTCTGGGCTTCCTGTTTTGTCAGAGTTCTACATAAGGACTATCCATCTTAGATGCCACCCAAGGAAGTACAAAACCAGCAAGCATCATTATAATGTGGTTGATACTATTAATATTCTAGAATTATGAGGCATTAATTTTAGGAAAGTCTTTGAGTCAAAACAAATAAAAGCTAGAAGACAACTTTTCAAATAAAATTTTTTTAAAAAGACAACTTTTATTTGACTAGTCTGTTTTTGTAGAATTTAAATGATGTTTACTTAGGGCATCCTAGACAAGTAGTAAAAATTATTGTTATTTTAGCTACATTTTGTTGGCATCACTTACCAAGCATTATACCTTTATAATTTTACTTAATCTTATCAATAACCCCCATGAAAGAAATTTCCATTTTAAGATGAAGAAAATTAAGTTTAGTGTTCATGACAAATTATGCTAAATGAGAAGCTATGGTTTTCACTCAGAGAGTGGATGCAATTATAAAATTAATTCATTGATGACTCTAGAGTTTTGGGGGGCTTTTTAAAAATCAGTAACAAAAGTCTTCTGCATATGAACATTCCCAGCCTGCAACCAGAGTGCTTTCTTTTCCTCTAAGTTTAGAATTATATGAGTTCTAATTTGAGTTGTTATTCATTCTTGATACCATCCCTACAAAGAAGGTTAATAGATTTCAGCTCCTTTTTTTGTTTTGTTTTAAGACAGGGTCTCACTATGTAATTGAGACTGACCTGGAACTCACTATGTAGCCCGCTGGTCTTGTCTTATCAATAACCCCCATGAAAGAAATTTCCATTTTAAGATGAAGAAAATTAAGTTTAGTGTTCATGACAAATTATGCTAAATGAGAAGCTATGGTTTTCACTCAGAGAGTGGATGCAATTATAAAATTAATTCATTGATGACTCTAGAGTTTTGGGGGGCTTTTTAAAAATCAGTAACAAAAGTCTTCTGCATATGAACATTCCCAGCCTGCAACCAGAGTGCTTTCTTTTCCTCTAAGTTTAGAATTATATGAGTTCTAATTTGAGTTGTTATTCATTCTTGATACCATCCCTACAAAGAAGGTTAATAGATTTCAGCTCCTTTTTTTGTTTTGTTTTAAGACAGGGTCTCACTATGTAATTGAGACTGACCTGGAACTCACTATGTAGCCCAGGCTGGTCTTGGACACACAGCGATCCTCCTGCCTCAGCCTCCCAAGTACTGGGATTACAGGAGTGCGCCACCACGCCAGGCTCATGCTCCCTTTTATAAGGCAGAAGAGCCTTAGTGATTATTTAATGATTTAGCCACTAATATTCTTTTATCCATTGGAAATCTTTTCAGTCCCAACTGTGCCTTTAAATGAGAAATAGTTTTTAGTGATTCATCTTAGTTTTCGCATGAAAGTACTAGGGATGGAAAATTGATAATAGTTCTGGTTATTGCTTTTCTAACCCATTTTCCTCTATTTAAGGACATGCTGAGGGCTGTCTATCTTAGAATAAATGTCTTTTGAGATAATGGTGCCTTTTAATTCCTTCATTTTAATTTGATTTATCTTCAGACCTCTCAACTATTTGTTGTAATAGCTGTATGGTATTTTGTCCTTTTAGAATCGTAAATTTAAAAAAAAGAGAATCATTCCACATTTATATTTGTAAGTCCACTTATAATTATACTTATCCTAGGACAAATCCTAAATAAAATCTACTTTACTGAAGGTCCCTAAACATTATGAAAGATCTAAAGTTGCATGTCATTGTTGCTTCTTTCTCAACATTTGTATTTTGTTCATCTCTAGGACAACAAAGTGAATGGGGTAACTTGCTGTACTAGGATGCTGGGCTGTACATACCTCTATCCTTGGATCCTCCCCAAACCCCACATATCTTCCACTTCACTTACCATTCAAGATGAGTTGCTAATTCTGGGAAACAAAGCATTGTGGGAACACTTGTCATATACAGAAGCTGTCAGTGCAGTACGTCATGTGCAAGACCCGTTGGCAGCTGCCAAGAAGCTGTGCACATTAGCACAGAGCTATGGTTGTCAGGACAATGTGGGGGCAATGGTGGTTTATTTAAATATTGGTGAGGAAGGCTGCACTTGTGAAATGAACGGGCTCACCCTCCCAGGTCCTGTGGGATTTCCTTCAACCACCACCATCAAGGATGGCCCCAAGCCAACCACTCCTTCTTCTAGTAGTGGTATTGCCTCAGAGTTCAGCAGTGAGATGTCCACCTCTGAGGTGAGCAGTGAGGTGGGCTCTACTGCTTCTGATGAACACAACACTGGAGGCCTGGAAGCTGGCTTGCTTCCAAGGCCAGAGAGGCGCTGCAGCCTCCACCCAGCACCCACCTCTGGGGTTTTTCAGCGCCAGCCTTCTTGTGCAACCTTCTCCAGTAATCAGTCTGACAATGGCCTGGACAGTGATGATGACCAGCCTGTTGAAGGGGTCATAACCAATGGCAGCAAGGTGGAAGTAGAGGTAGATATCCACTGCTGCCGAGGAAGAGATCTTGAGAACTCTCCTACTTTTAAAGAGAATTCTTCCACCCCGTGTCCTGAGGAACACCCTAGAGGGCTGTGTTTTGGGATCCGAAGACAGAACAGTGTGAATAGTGGCATACTTCTGCCACTAAACAAGGACAAGATGGAGTTACAGAAGTCTCCTTCCACTTCTTGTCTGTATGGAAAGAAACTCTCCAATGGCTCCATTGTGCCCCTAGAAGACAGTCTGAACCTCATAGAAGTGGCCACAGAAGCACCCAAGAAGAAAACTGGCTACTTTGCTGCCCCCACTCAGCTGGAACCAGAGGATCAGTTTGTTGTACCTCATGACCTGGAGGAAGAAGTGAAGGAGCAAATGAAGCAGCATCAAGAAAGCAGGCCCCAACCCGAGCCCCATGAAGAGGATCGGACCGATCTCCCAGAGGAGTTTGACACAGCACTGTGATTTGGCCCTGCTAAAGGGCAGTGTGAGGGAGGGTGTGTGGGGTTGGGTAATGGACTTTCCAGAGGCACTTTGCCTCTGTGTTTCTAACCATAGATATGTGGGGTAGAACTTGGAGCCAAAAAAGATGACAGCTATCAGGGCCTGGCTCTGGATGAGCCAGTACCACATCAGTGTTAAGTTTCACATTTGACCTGCATCCGAATTCCCAGAGTTAGTGGGAAGAAAGCAGATGCTGTTCTGTATCCGTCCTACCACCTGCCATTAACCCTTTCTCTCCTAGGATCATTTTGAGAATTTGCCTGCCTGGGCAGGAAAGGGACTTTTTCTGTGGAGGAAGTAACTGAAGGTTGATTCCTTTTACTAATTGCTGCTGATGGATCTCTGTGACAGAGAAATCATCTTATCTCTTAGACTAACTAATGGGGTGTGATGTGACTAGTCACATGGCTTTCATTCTTCTCTACGAGAATTCAGCCTATCAAAATGATGTTTATTGGAGATGTAGAACCAATCAAACAGATAATTTATGTATGTAATGTAATGAGAGCACTTTTCATTGACTGTGAACTTTTTATTTTTGAATCTGCACTCGAGCCAATCTTCTTAGAGGCAGCCCGGCACCTTTGTCCATAGGAAGAAAGATAACTTGGGTGTTGGAGCCTTCTCTGAGGGTACATAGAAGGAAATTGATTGAATTGTTGGATGTCAGACTGAAAGTTCCTGAGAATCTTGGGGTAGGGATAGGATCTTCTTTGAGGGATGAAGATGGGGAAGGAGCAATGATCGAAACTGTTTCCCCCATGTCAAAAAAAGAGAATCACTCCTTGACAAATGTGATACCTGCTAGGATTTGTAGTCCCAGCAGATCACAAAATGGGCATTTGGATTGGCCTCTTTCTCTAATATGTGGTAGAGATGGCACTGCTAGTGTCCAAGTAACTGAGTTACAGCAGATGACTCTGAAATAGACAGAGGCTTAATGAGAGCAGATGTGTAGCTCACAGGTTAAATTTGTTCCTTCTTTTTCTAGACCACAGAAATGGCCCACTGGGAGATCGTTCTTTCATGTTTGACAGTTCTTCCTTCTGAATTTACCACCGTATGTGGTTTCAATGGGCTCAATACCAATATAAGAAAGACTCTTAATTGAAAATTCCTAAGCTTACAGAAAACTTACAATTTTTTTCACATTCCATGTAACCCTAGCAAAATATAGTTCCCTCCATATTTCTGTCGCTTTTTCCATTGAAAGATTTACTTTGAAAAGTGAATTCCTACAAAATTTTACATTGCTTAGTAGAAATTCGCTTTGAATGGGAATGGGAATGTGCTTTGAAATTTTAGAATATTTCACAATTAAAAAGAAAATACAGTGGAACTATTTTTGTTTCACTGGAAACAAAATGTTAAATATAAGATTGAAAGTAAATATTTATTCACTTGTGGTTTTGGGAAAGTTTTTGTTTGAAGCAATAATCAAAAATCAGATGACCCATCCACAGACAGTTATGTCGCTCCATTTTCTCAGAGGCCCCATACCCATATGCATGTGTCAGCGGGGTGCACTCTTGGGGAGTTTTGTACCACTCCAGTGGCTGCCTAGTGATTGACTGACTCCTCAAGAATCTGAATGTGAACCCCTAAATCAAGAACATTTGACTTTCCTCTGTCAGACTACTGGTCAGCTACTGAAAACTTTAGAACTCAGGTTTTTGATTTGAAGTGGGGAGCATGGTGGCTCATACAGAGTTTAGGTGCTGTTAGAAAGAAAGATGGGAACAATAGTGTGTTGCCACCTTATTTTTATATGGGAAAATGAAAAAAAAGAAAAAAAATGAAGGAAAAACCTAAGATTGTACGTAATGGGTGATGTAAAACATCTTCCTACTCAAGACAGCCAAACCTTTGGGTTATAGAATAGTGATGTTGTCTAAAAATCAGTTATTTTGGGAAAATACCACTTTAATAGTATATCATAAAAAAGTACTTTGTGAATTGTTTTTCTTGTCTTTTGTTTGTTTTCCACCCTAACTCAGTTCTGCAATGACCTTACCAAAAGTAAGTCACTCGCCATAGTGGCACACACATGTAATCCTAGCTGCATGGGAGGCTGAAGCAGGAGGATCAAAAGTTCAAGCCCAGCCAAGGCAACTTAGTGAGACCTTGTCTCAAGAAATAAAAGGGCTGGGGATGTCGCTCAGTGTGAAGGCCCTGGTTCAATCCCCAAGTATTGCCCCCGCAAAATAGTGTACTTACTTTTTGGTCCGCAGAACTCTGAAATTCCAAATATATTTTTATGTGGTAGTGTTATTTTGGGAACCATTCAGTTGTATTGAAAACCTTTAATGTAGGCTATACCAAAACTTATGTTCTCATTTTCCTTTCATTCATGTCCTTCTACACTTGCTCTGTATTAAAACAGGGTAAAAAGGCCATAGCCCATTACCAAAAATACACCACATACTTATTTTGACCAGCAAGATAATTTACAGATTTGTGATCTGGGTAGGTTGCCAATGAAAGCCAGTAATCTGTGTCCGGTGAGTGTACTTTACCCAGAGGGTGTGTTTCCCAGGTGGGCAGAGTACAGGTGATCTGTAGCATGGAAATCCTGGCCTCTGCATGTACCTCTGAAAGAATAATTGGTACAGTTCAGGAGTCCCACAGGGGAAGGAAAACGTGTGGCTGTGTGTCTGAAAATCTGAATGGTAGTATGACATAAAGCTGCAGTGCTACTATGGTCAGGTCATGGAATTACCACTCCTGACCCAGCAAGGGCTTTATTGTACTACTGTAGATTGTACTTGTGCAATAAGTTGAACTCATTCTCCTGGCATACAGAAGAGCAGCTTGGTAACCACTGGGTGCTATTGCTTGTATTGAGTGCTATTTTCTAGGAGATGGAGCCAGTTAGGTTTGGCTGATCTACTGACTATCAAATGATGCTCTTTCTCTGTAGACCTTCAGCAAAAGCAGGTACTTGGAAGCCACAGGCTCACCTTCTCTATTTATTCAATAATTATTAATGAAGAGACCTCCATAAGGGAGCACTTGGCTGTTATCAATAAATGTACCAATTTCTAAAGAATCAGTCTCCAAGCCATTTGGTGATGTCTGCAGCATCACTGTAGAACTGTCTCGTGTCATTTTTTACTTCCCTCTGGGTGGAGCCTTCCAGGCTCCCCAATCATGGAGGCAAGTTAATCTTTCTCTCCAGTTAGTGACTTTGCCCTGTGGTTGGGTAAGCACTTTCTGGATTGAGAAATGCAGCTACAGTCAACCCTGCTCTGTTCCCTCATTGGTGATCAGTCTGCATAAACTCCTTGTATTCTAAATCTCATGCACCTCTCCCAGATGCTATAGGGTTTTCTCTCACTGTTGCCAATGGACATCATCCAGACAGTGAGCTCATATCTTATGGTTTGTGCAATCATTGTTGTATTGTAGTCCTAAGACTCATTATAGTGTATTTTTGATATTTTTTGAAATGTGTTAAATTTTTTAATTAAATAATATGAGCCAGAGCATGTTGCAGCAAATCTATTGTTTGTAAAAAATAACAATAATAAATAAAATAAAGTGGAATATCTTTTAAATGCTTTTGTTTTAAAATGGAATGCTTATTTTATATTTTATGAAGCTGTAATTTTCTCTGAACTTGTGTGTAGAATTAGTTTTGTTATTCATTCATTCATTTATTTTTATTTTTGGAGTGAGGGTCTTGCTACATAGCCTAGGCTGGCCTTGAACTCATAATGATCCTCCTGCCTCAATCTCCTAAGTGCTGGGATTACAGGTGTGCACCACCACAACTAGTGTTAGAAATAGGTTCTTAATAAAAATCCTTTAGGGATTTTTTTGCTATTCTTTGCTTAATGGGAAGATAAACAAGAACAAATACACGAAATCATATTCCATGATACTCTTGGAAGGTGTGAGTTAAGGCAAAAATAAATACTTTTCATGTCATTTTAATAGAACATCCAACATAAGATACTTAGAAGTGGTTTATTCACCTCACAGTTGTGGAAGTTCAAGAGCACAGCACTAGTGTTAGCTCAGTTCTTGGCCAGGTCACAGGTAGGTAGCAATGGCAGGAGCATGTTTGGGAACAGGTGATTGCATCTCAAACTAGGAGCAGGGAACTCTGGGTGGGACCAAACTCAAGGCTTTACATGAAAGTCTTCTCAAGAACTACCTACCGAGGGCACACTCCCAGCATAAGCACCTTCCAGTGGCTTCCCAAGTGTCTGCTGCCACCCAGCAGCACCATGCTGTGGACCAGACCAAGTCTCCTATCAGTGGATCTTGGTGGGGGAAACTCGGACCACACCAAACCATTGCACCTTTTCTGCTGAAATAGAGAGAAAGATTTTTAATTTAGGAAACATTCTGACTTGATTTATATATTTAAAGAAATATCTAAGGCAAGAAACAGTCCTTGTTTAAAGTTATTAGCTGACCAGAAGAAACTCACTTGTAAACATTGTATAGATCCTCTTAAATCTCATTGCTGATGATGACATGGGCTGAAGAGAAACTGGCCACCATATTTTTCATAATGCAATGGCTTGGTGTCAGGGTTTCAGATGTGGTGGATAATGGGCTCACAAGGTAATTGTAAGCCAGTTACCCCTTTAAATTAGTACTTCTGGACCAGGTGTGGTGGTGCATGTCTGTAAACCCAGCACTCTGGGAGGCTGAGGTAAGAGGATGGCAAGTTTGAGCCCAGCATGCCCAATTTATTAAGACTGTCTCAAAAAAAAAGCTGGGGAGGTACCTCAGTGTGAAGGCCCAGAGTCCAATCCCCAGCACTCAGAATTAGTGCTCTCTCTCCCCCTTTGGGTGTGTCCCATCATCTCTGGATACAAGCAGATTAGCTACCTCTCCAAATAAAGACCAAGTTAAAGCCATTTTGCAGATTTCCTCTTCAGCTAGTGGAATGAACATTTTAAAAAACTTCATTCAGAGTTAGGAGTGGCGCCTACTTGTAATCTTAGCAATCAGGAGGCTGAGGTAGGAAGATTGTGAGTTCATGGCCAGCCTGGGCTACATAGTGAGATTCTGTCTCAAAAAACAAAACCCAAATATGTTCAACAGATGAACAGATAAATAAAATGTATTTGCACACAACTGAGTACTACTCTGCCATAAAGGATAAATGCATCATTTGTAGGCACCTAGAGACTGTAATGTTAAGTGAAACAACAGACATAGAAGTTAAATATTGCATGGTTTCTCTTAGACAAGAAACCCAAAACATACAAAACAAAATACAAGATAGAAAAGGGAAGGGGATCAAGAGATGGGGGAAAAAAGGAAAAAAATGTTATGTGCATGTACCAACTCTCCAATAGGAATTTAAGTGATAAGAAAGTTAATTCAAAAACAAAACTTAAGCCAGCAAAAAACAGAAAAAATAATCTTGGTTCAGCAATGGGGTTTTGTTTGTTTTGATGCAGGGTGTCTATGTAGTCTAGTCTGGCCTTTTACTCACTATGGGGGCCTAGGCTAGCCCCGAATTTGTGGTTCCTCCTGCCTCCCACCTGCTAGGATTTCCAGGCATGCACTGCCACACTCAGCAACTTCACTGAGCACCTTCGGTATGCGGGGACCATACCACTATCTCCTTTAATACCTCAGTTCCATTGGACACACATTCCAAGTCCATGGTGGTCGCAGCAAAATTCTCTGAGCATGGTTGCCACTTCATGAAGTATTCCCTGACACACTAAAGGCCATAAGAATGAGTTGATCATGTATTAAACATTCCAGTCTGAGTTTTATCTCTGCCACTTAAAACATTTAGACAAGTCACATCCCCTGTAGGCTTTTGTTGTTTTTTGTACCAGAATCAAACTCAGGACCTTGCACTTGTAAGGCAGGTGGCAGAACCGCTAAGCTAAATCCCCAGCTGTTTTGTTTTTTGAGACAGGGTGTCTGTGTAGTCCAGGCTGTCTAGGACTCATGATCCTCTTGCCTCAGCCTCTCAAAATTCTGGGATTACAGGTGCGTGCCACAGCACTCACCCCCTCTTTTGTGGTGCTGAGGGTCAAACTCGGCCTCACATGCTATCTAAGCATTCTGCCACTGAGCTACCTCTCCTAGCCCCCACTGTGTTTCATTTCAGTGGAAATAATATCCATTGTCAGCTGCAAGTTTAAATGAGACGCAGACAATGCTGCTTTAGCACAGTAATGTACTTGGCACGTGGAGAGCACTCCATTACATTTTAACTATCAAGTAAACCACTTAACCATTCTTGACCTTGTCTGCTCATCTGTCATGTGTGGATAAGTCTTGACCTGCCTACCTGCAGATGGTAGTGAATATGATCAGGTTTGCCATATCATTTTGAACATTATGAAACCACTGATGTGGGGTGTCATTAGCCACTGATGGGCTCATCAGTGGAGTGGTGCTGCCTCCCAGGAACACAGTCCTAGCTGGGCCTGGGCCCAAAGCGGGGGTCATGCAAGCCACAGTGCCTTTTGTATCCAGCACGGAACCCAATGTGGGCAAGCTCTGGGAGGGACATGTTTGGGGAGTAGAGCCTGGGTGAGAACGGTATGTGGAGGGATGTTACTCTCCAGAATGAGTATTTCATTTTTTCACTGTTGAGCTTCTCCACCATTCAGTGAAACTCAGGCTGTAGCCACTGGTCCAGTAAAGAGCGACAGTACCACACTTTTCTGTGGCGCAGCCAACTTTATTTCAATTAAGCAGTACAGATTCCCAGGAGCTTATCTTCCTCCAAGCTTTATTTTTCAAGTTTTTTTATTTCTTGGTACCAAGGATCGAACTCGGGACCTTGTGCTTGGAAGGCTGGCAGTGGAACCACTGAGCTAAGTCCATGGCCCATTACTTATTTTTTTATGAGGTTTACTTTTGACCTTTTTTGTCTTGGACAGGTGCCATGAGGATTAGCTACTAAAAAGCAAAAGGACACTTTAGAAAAAGACCTCTATAATATGAATGCCTTTAGTTGGATCTGACATGAACTGAGATTAGCTATAAAGAATAAGGTATAAATTAAATAAATAATAGATTAATAAGATTTAAATGACTGAAAACTTTAGTTCTAAGATTCAGTGCTAGAGAATTGAAGTCACTATCCTAGAGGCCTGCTCTGTGGGGCTCTCAGCGGGAATGTAGAGAGAAAGGCCTCCTATAAGCCTCTGGAGTCTAATAAAATCAACTGCCTCCTCCTTGAAATCAGTTGAATGACACATTTAATTTTACTTATTTTGTCAGTATTTGGAAACCTCATGTTTAAAAAAACTATTTTTAAAAAGTGAATTCCAATGGAATGGTTTGCCAGAAAAACACAGGGAATAGCTGGCAGGAGACATTAGCCCTGGGCCCTGAGGGAGGAGCCCCGAGAGATGCTAAAAGCATCTCTTTCTCTAGGTCAGGACTCCAACGGCTTGGGGTACACTGTGGCAGCCCCTCTAATAGCAGAGTGCTTCCCTCTAGGAGGGAGTGAGAATAACTGCTTTAAAATCGTTCTCTGGGACCACATAGGGGAGAGGGGTAGTTGGCATGTTTCTTCTGACGACTTCAGACTGGGTGGTAGGATTTCTATGAGAACCATGGAACTACTGACCTCTGATGTGCAGTTCTCAGCTTTCAGAATTACCCTTGCTAGGGCTGGGGATGTAGCTCAGTGCTGTGCCTGCTTGGCAAGTGCAAGGTCCTGAGTTCAATTCCCAATACCAGAAAAAGAAAAAAGAAAAAGCTACTTACAGAATTACCCTGGCTGGTGGGCTACTTCTTTATGGTGAGGGAGTCCTACAGTAAGGTTACCCTCACTTCTGATGTTGCTCTCTGAACCAAAGGGGGATACTTTTATCAAGCTATCATTGAGTCAGCAATCATGGATCTCTTTTACAACATTGCATTGGTACTAAAGGTAGTACCTACAAAATCAAGTCTGTGAAAAACCACAGTTGTCTAACTGGTTTTAAAGGACCTGCCTTTTGGAGAGAAACAGTCGGGGGGAGGGTTGACATTTGGGTTCTAGAGGTCTCCTTACAGTGTCCCAGACCACACGTATTCTGTTGCATCACTGTAATTTCTGTGCTGTTCTTGGTTGTTTTTGTAGAGCTTCTGTTTTCTGTAGCTCCGCAGGGCCAGGACCACGCTGACACTGTACATAATTACGAGAAGACAAGCAAAGGTGGCTGCTGCTCCGTCAGTGCCCGCCAGCTGGCAGTTCATCCAGGTGAGACCTCTGCGGGCATACAGCCTCTCTCTTTTTTTGCAAGTATCCATGGAATTGATCTGCAAAGCCACGTGGAGGTAAACACCAATGCCTACGCAGTAGCCCACTGCCGCAAGGAGACTGAACATGGCCTCCAAGGGAAGCCACTTCCCAGGCAATTCTGTTAGACTCTTGGCTCCTTGGATCAGAACGCCCATGGTGAGGACACCCAGCCCCAGGGAAACGGCCACGCCACTGTATATCAGGGGTGACCGGAGGACTGTATACTGCTGGTCCAGCCGCCGAACTTCCTCCAGCTCGCTGCCCTCAAACGGTGAGTAATAGTTGTTCCCAAAGCCGCTGCCACTGACAAAGCTGGCGCTGAATCCAGCAAGGACAAAGTAGGATGCCACGATGCACATGAGAACCATCCCATTCAAAATCACCTCCACTATCTGTACCACACCTAGGGGAAGAGAGATTCGGGGTTTAACACTGACACCACATGCCCAGGCCAAACCCGAGGGATTCTGCCGACCTCATTTTAAGAATAAGGTAAGATTCAACATTAATGTTCTTGACTTGTTTTTGGTGGTTGCTTTGTTTTTAATATGTTTGAAAGATTAAAATGCCATTTGGGGCAGTTTCTTAAAAAATGAAACATATGCTTACCATGGAATCCTGGGTACTTTATCCTAAATAAATGAAAATTTATGTTCACAGGAAAACATGTACATGAGTGTTTGTGGTAGCTTTATTTGTAATGGCCAAATCTTGGGATGACCCAAGTGTCCTTCAGTGAGTGAAAAGTACAATGGGAAGCTCTACTCAGCAATACTAAGGAATGAACTATTAATTGTTTGGTTGTTTTTCTGTCTTGCTTTGTAATTTAGGCTGGCCTTAAACTCAAAGCAACTTTCCTGCCTCAGCCTCCCTAATATTAGAATTACAGGAGTGCTCCACTATGCCTGGCTTCTAGTCTTCCTTTTTTTTTTTTAACAGATAGAAGTACATTCAAATCTGCATTGCATCTCTCTCTGCCTTTTCCCACAAAAGTAAGCATTCCACAACTTGCTCTTTTCATTTAAGAGATGTTTCCAGGTCAGTTCCTAGAGTGGCCACATTCTTTGCTACAAGGCCCCCAACTTTATAACATGGATAGACTAGTCTGTTCAGCCAGGATCTGACTGCCCACCTGAGAGGACTTTCTTACAAGTTTGAGGAAACTACAAATGTCTCGAGGCTGTGGATGCCAACAAGTGACAGAGCTGATATATATACATGTCTGAGGTCAGTTTGCATTTGGTACCAGCAGAGGCCGGGGACCCCTTCTCAGGCACCCCTGTGGGGGAAGGTCTCCTCCTCCACCCTTGGGAGGTGCAGAGATGAGGACAAGGGAACTGCAAATAAATGCAGAGTGGGGACACCAGGTTCAGGTCCCTGCTGTTTACTGCCTTGTGATCTTGCCCTCATCATTCAGCCTTTCTAAGGCTCAGACAGCTTAACAGATGAAGGTAAGGATGCCAGGCTTACTGCACAGGGCTCATAATGAAAGTGAGTGCAGTCAGCCTCCATCTCCACCACTTCTGTCTGCAGCTTCTGTGCCTACAGGTTCAGTGAGGATTGAAAACACTTGGAAAAAGAAACTAATTGTACTGAACATGCACAGACTCTTTTCATTATTCCCTAAATACTACAACACAACAACAATTTACAGAGTTTACACTGTAGTAGGGATCATAAGTAATATACAGATTATTTAAAATATGAGAAAATGTGCATGGGTTATATGCAAATACTCTACCCTTTTATGGAGGGGAGAAGGGTCCCTTGGATTTTAGTATCTAAGGGGATCTTGGAACCAACCCCCTGTAGACACTGGGACAACCATATATGAAATACTGTGAAAATCATAAACAGTTATACAAATGGGGGGTGATGCTACTCAGTGATGTTTCTAAAATGCAAGGGGATTGGTGAGGTTTAAGAAGAAATAGGACAAGTTTATGAAAAGCATTTTTTCTAAGCAATTGGAACAACCATCTATTATGCCAGAGGGTATGACTATGTTTATAATCTGGGCAGTGAAAGGACCAGTATCTCTAAAGTTCTCAGGCAGCCACACTGGGGTTCACTGATCTTAATCTCCTGTGGGCCCACATGAATTCCTGGAGGGTCAAATACACTATAGTCAAGGGCTCTCAGAGCTGAGAAGCTGCACTGTTCTTGTTTGAAATTCAAAGTAACATCAGAAGCCAGCTGCCCATTCCTCACCCAGGCCCTGGGAAGTACTGGTCATTCTCTCCCTACAGCAGATCAATGAATCCACCCAGCTCCCAGGGGTGGCTGTCCGCTGCACCCAATGCCTTTCCCTGCCCTAGTTTTCTTTCTGCATGCACGTATCTCACCCTTGAAGGGACACAGGAGCACTATGCTCCTGTCACCAGACAGAATCTGGGGAGGTCCCTCTCTAAAGAGGACCTCAACTTACCCTGGGACGGAACTTGACATCTCATCACAGAAAAGCATTTCAGGACAGGTCAGTGAGAGGCGCAGACTGATTTATGAGGCAGAGTTAGGGAACAAGAGAAAATGGGGAAGTAACTTCAGCCAAAGGAGCTGAGGGGGGCACAGCTTTGAAGAAGAGGATCAGATGGGCCCATTAACAAAGCAGGAGGCCAGTTTTTAAGCTGTTGCTGAGATGGCGCAGTTCTAGTTTTGCGATGTGGTTCTGAAGAAGTCTGTATCATGAGGAGGCAAGCTGGTCTTGGAGAGATAACTGTTTCTGCTTGGAGAAGTCTTTTTCAGGGGCTCTGCTGGAGTCCAAGGTAATTGCTGGCTTAGGGCAATGACTGCAGACTTCTTGGAGCCTACTGGCAGTTGAATGTCCCTGTAAATCGCTTATCTTGATGCTCTCAGTCTTGAAGGGGATTGAGACAGGTTATGGAAATGTAGGGCCAATCAGCCTTGGATCACCAGTTTTTAGACTTGCTCCCTAAATGACATGCCTTATGCAGAGCTGAGCAGAGCTCTGACCCAAAGAGTACAAGACAGATACAAAATGAAAGCACAGATGCCAAGCTCTATCCTGCTTTTGGCTACCCACTGGGTATCAATCAGTAAGCCCAAGTAAGGAGTCACTGTTTTTAGCAAAAAAACAGGTTTTAAGTCCCTATCTCAGAAGGAAATACAGTCAAGCCCCACCCCCTCCATCGGGGATTGAACTCAGGACCTTGCACTTGTGAGGCAGGCTTAATGCCAAAAAGCTAAATCCCCAACCCCCAAATCAAGTTTTTAATGAGTAACAGGTTAAGGGCCTGACTCTTTGTCCTCTGTCCCTCTGTGATGATCCCCAACAGTTTTGTTTTCTCATCCAGTTTGTTCTTGGAGGTGATACAGCAAGGGCATCCTGGCTTTAGTGATGCATCTGATTTTTGATGCTGATAAGACTGTTTGAGAGCATTGGGGTGTGGGGTAAAGGGAAGAATATATTCCATACTTTTAATAGGTAGCAGGCCCCAAGTTAGGTCTAGGAGTGTATGTGCCCTTTCCTTTGTACCCATGGGGTCCCTGACTGTCTCATTCCCTACAAGATGCAGGAAACCTGGCCCTTTTCCTTCTATGACAAATTTTGCCAAAACTGGAGTCATGATCCACGCACAGACATCTGATAGGCTGATGGGATAAATTTAGATCTTGTCAATCACCACTGTGACTGCAACAACTGAAGGAGACACTGGTCTTCTGCCAGGTCTGGGGTCTGTTGAAGGAATGTAATCCAGGTACTGCAGGCCCCACTGGCTTAGCTACCAATGTCAAACAGGCACAAGTATCCCCTAGCATTCCGCTAGTGCAGAATACACGCACACAGCAGGGGGCGAGGTGACGGCTAGAGTAGTTTACCTCCAAGTTGAGATGGGACAAATTTCTGGAAAGACAGTGGAGGGCTCTGTGGGAGAGGAGACTCAGAAACACAAGAGATCTTTGCTGTAAATAGTATCTTTCTGGGTGAGGTTGTTTTCTATGGCTAACCACTTAAATACTCTGCTCAATTACACATCTATCTCTGCCTCTACCCTATAATTGTGGACTTGAAAAAAGCTGAGGCAAGAAAATCAAATTATTATTTTTCTAAATTAAAAATACATGTGAAGTCAAGCCATGTATAATATGAAAAAAAATTCCCTTCTCTCCAGAAGCAAAACTGTCAATGTTTTGCTATACATTGCTGAAGAACTTTTCTAATCACACGCGCATGTGCGCACACACACATACACACACACCTTTTTCTAAATCTAAACTCATCTTCTAAATGAACTAAATTGTATTAAGACAATGATATATTATAAAAGTACTATAAAGAGAACCATTACCTCCAAATTAAAACTTTTCTTTGGACTACATAAAACAAAGAACATGCTCACACCAAGAATATACTGTAACGTTGTATAGTCATAATTCAGTGTGTAGTAAGAACCTGTGAAGTTGCCTGGCAAAACTGACATTCTTCTGTCAGAAAGATTTTTACGCTCTTTTCCTCTGAATGTATCCTGCATTCCAGAAGAGGGTTTTCTTCATCCTACAATGGGACATTTGTAAAAGGTACAAAACACTTATTAAGCTCCCAGGGGAGCTGTGAGGGGCTTGCAGAATGGCTTCTTTACAAGCCACTGAGTTAATCTCATTCCTCCTTGCTCAGCCCACATCTACCTCCAATGTAAATGTCCCAGGTGTATGTCCCCCAGACGAATAAAGCAGGCCTGGAGAGCTCAGTGTAGGACTACTGGGCCAGTCTGCTGAGGACAGCTGGGTTTAGAATAGTCCAGGCCGAAAGTTATCTCATGTCTGTGTGGCTTTTCAAGGACTCTGAAGATCAGCTTCTTCCAATTCCCTTTATCACCTCCTTTTATTTAATGAAGAAGTGCACTTTGCTGCACCACATGCCTTTTCCCTGTGGGTCCTGACCTCCAGGTTTTTGTGTTTTGATAGAATTTTGGTTCATCTCTCACTAATATAAATCAAAGCTGATTACATCAGAGAACACTGCTCCATGCAACTGGGAGTTAAGCCCGCTGTACTGAAGTTGGCTTGTTACTTTTGAAGTGTTGGCGAGTGCTACAACAAAGGACTCTTGTGAAAGACTGATTCAGAGTAACTTTCAGCACTGAGGTTTGGCAGACCGTTTTTAAAAGCCTAAAACTCAAGCATTTCTGCAGGCTTCTCTTTTAGCTTCCTGACTTTTCGGTAAGCCCTGATAGCCAGGACGAATCCTAGGGTAAAGACCCCAATGCCCAGGGACGCAAAGACCCCAGCTCCTATATCGGCACCATGGAAACCACAGCTGAAGCCGCTGTACCCTTTGCTCTGGTACAGTGCTTCCCTCTCTTGACACACAGAGGAGGCGTAGGCAGCAGAGAGATGGTGGAAGAAGAAGTACATTGCTGGGATGTAGGCTCCGGCGATGAC